AAGGTGCGGGAGGTCCCTCCACCCCCTCTGGACATCGAGGGGGCCCCGGCGTACTCCGTCCGTTCCATCCTGGATTCGAGGTGTCGGGTGGGGGGCCTTCAGTACCTCGTGGAGTGGGAGGGGTACGGTCCGGAGCAGCGGTGTTGGGTCCCAGTGAGGGATATCCTCGATCCCTCCCTGTTGCGGGATTTCCACCGTCGCCATCCGGCTCACCCTGCTCCGCGTCCTCCTGGCCGTCCCTGAGGCTGGTGTCGGCGCGCTGCTGGAGCTGCGCGTCAAGGGGGGGGGGGGGCTGCCTCCTCTCCTTGTTCGGGCAGGCTTCGGCGTTCGTCGTCACCAGTCTTCTAGCCACTGCCGCTCCTCATCTCATCATTCCATTTGTTTTGTCTTGTTTATTACACACACCTGGTTTCAGTTCCCCTCATCAGTACCTGTATAAGTGTTCCCTCTGTCCCCTTGTCTTTGTGTGTGATTGTTTATTGTGGAGGTTAGTTTAGCTCGGTGTAACTCTTGTATTTTGTATCGCCGGGATATTCACCCGTGTGCCTTGTTGTTTCCAGTGCGCTGTATATTTCTGCACTGGAGTGTTTGACGCATTGCCGCAGTGGCGTGTTACAGTCACTGTGGATTTTAACCAGTGCTCCTGCTTCTATCAGTCCCTCTATTGTAGCTTGAATACCTGCCTCTGCTTCAGGTTTCATTGGGTATTGCTGTTTCCATGGGGGTCTTGTGTCTGCCTTTACTTTAATGCAGATTGGATTAGCTGATTTTACCAAACCCACATCTGTATCATGTTTTGCCCATAAGGGTTCTGGGATCATACTTTCCATTTGTTTCCTTATCTTTTCTTGTTTTGTTTCTTCTTCAACTACTGGCATCTGTCTTTCCTCAGTTATTTCCACTTCCTGTGGTTCCCCCATCAGCTCTGCAAAGCATATGACTTTAATGAGGTTTTTGTCAACAGACTGGACAACTACAGTGGGGAAAAAAAGTATTTAGTCAGCCACCAATTGTGCAAGTTCTCCCACTTAAAAAGATGAGAGAGGCCTGTAATTTTCATCATAGGTACACATCAACTATGACAGACAAAATGAGAAAAAAAAATCCTGCAAATCACATTGTAGGATTTTTAATGAATTTATTTGCAAATTATGGTGGAAAATAAGTATTTGGTCAATAACAAAAGTTTCTCAATACTTTGTTATATATCATTTGTTGGCAATGACACAGGTCAAACGTTTTCTGTAAGTCTTCACAAGGTTTTCACACACTGTTGCTGGTATTTTGGCCCATTCCTCCATGCAGATCTCCTCTAGAGCAGTGATGTTTTGGGGCTGTCGCTGGGCAACACGGACTTTCAACTCCCTCCAAAGATTTTCTATGGGGTTGAGATCTGGAGACTGGCTAGGCCACTCCAGGACCTTGAAATGCTTCTTACGAAGCCACTCCTTCGTTGCCCAGGCGGTGTGTTTGGGATCATTGTCATGCTGAAAGACCCAGCCACGTTTCATCTTCAATGCCCTTGCTGATGGAAGGAGGTTTTCACTCAAAATCTCACGATACATGGCCCCATTCATTCTTTCCTTTACACAGATCAGTCGTCCTGGTCCCTTTGCAGAAAAACAGCCCCAAAGCATGATGTTTCCACCCCCATGCTTCACAGTAGGTATGGTGTTCTTTGGATGCAACTCAGCATTCTTTGTCCTCCAAACACGACGAGTTGAGTTTTTACCAAAAAGTTCTATTTTGGTTTCATCTGACCATATGACATTCTCCCAATCCTCTTCTGGATCATCCAAATGCACTCTAGCAAACTTCAGACGGGCCTGGAGATGTACTGGCTTAAGCAGGGGGACACGTCTGGCACTGCAGGATTTGAGTCCCTGGCGGCGTAGTGTGTTACTGATGGTAGGCTTTGTTACTTTGGTCCCAGCTCTCTGCAGGTCATTCACTAGGTCCCCCCGTGTGGTTCTGGGATTTTTGCTCACCGTTCTTGTGATCATTTTGACCCCACGGGGTGAGATCTTGCGTGGAGCCCCAGATCGAGGGAGATTATCAGTGGTCTTGTATGTCTTCCATTTCCTAATAATTGCTCCCACAGTTGATTTCTTCAAACCAAGCTGCTTACCTATTGCAGATTCAGTCTTCCCAGCCTAGTGCAGGTCTACAATTTTGTTTCTGGTGTCCTTTGACAGCTCATTGGTCTTGGCCATAGTGGAGTTTGGAGTGTGACTGTTTGAGGTTGTGGACAGGTGTCTTTTATACTGATAACAAGTTCAATCAGGTGCCATTAATACAGGTAACGAGTGGAGGACAGAGGAGCCTCTTAAAGAAGAAGTTACAGGTATGTGAGAGCCAGAAATCTTGCTTGTTTGTAGGTGACCAAATACTTATTTTCCACCATAATTTGCAAATAAATTCATTAAAAATCCTACAATGTGATTTTCTGGAGAAAAAAATTCTCAATTTGTCTGTCATAGTTGACGTGTACCTATGATTAAAATTACAGGCCTCTCTCACCTTATTAAGTGGGAGAACTTGCACAGTTGGTGGCTGACTAAATACTTTTTTTCCCCAATGTAATGGATTCTCTTTTTACCCACAGTGTATTTTTAGCCTCCTTCATCATTGGTCCTAGGTCTTTTGCCTGATATCCTTCAGCCACTAAAAGTGTTATATGAGGTTCGGTTCCTGGTATATCAAACCAGGTTTGTATGATATCAGACCCTGGAGCATCTTGTGCATCCATTGCTGCCCGTTGTTTCCCTATTATAAAATATTGCGATCTCATGGAGGCCGGTTTACCCCATGCCTTCCTCAAACATAGTTGTTCCAGCAAAAGATTCTGATATGGGTCATATTACTAAATGCATGCTCTTCAATCGAACGCTGCTTGCACCCGCCCGACTAGAATCACTACTCTCGGTGGGTCTGACTTAGAATATGTGGACAACTACAAATACCTAGGTGTCTGGTTAGACCGTAAACTCTCCTTCCAGACTCACATTAAGCATCTCCAATCCAAAGTTAAGTCTAGAATCGGCTTCCTATTTCGCAACAAAGCCTCCTTCACTCATGCTGCCAAACATGCTCTCGTAAAACTGACTATCCTACTGATCCTTGACTTCGGCGATGTCATTTACAAAATAGCTTCCAACACTCTACTCAGCAAATTGGATGTAGTCTATCACAGTGCCATCCGTTTTGTCACCAAAGCCCCATATACTACCCACCATTGTGACCTGTATGCTCTCGTTGGCTGGCCCTCACTACATATTTGTCGCCAAACCCACTGGCTCCAGGTCATCTATAAATCACTTCTAGGCAAATCCCCGCCTTATCTTAGCTCATTGGTCACCATAGCAACACCCACCAGGTATATCTCACTGGTCATCCCCAAAGCCAACACCTCCTTTGGCCGCTATTCCTTCCAGTTCTCTGCTGCAAATGACTGGAACAAACTGCAAAAATCTCTGAAGCTGGAGACACTTATCTCCCTCACTAACTTTAAGCATCAGTTGTCAGAGCAGCTTACCGATCACTGCACCTGTACACAGCCCATCTGTAATTAGCCCACCCAACTACCTCATCCCCATATTGTTATTTACATTGTTATTTATTTAGCTCATATGCACCCCAGTATCTCTATTTGCACATCTATCACTCCAGTGTTAATATTAAATTGTAATTATTTTGCACTATGGCCTATTTATTGCCTTACCTCCATAACTTACTACATTTGCACACACTTTATATAGATTTTCTATTGTGTTATTGACTGTATGTTTTGTTTATTCCATATGTAACTCTGTGTTGTTGTTGTTTTTAATCGCACTGCTTTGCTTTATCTTGGCCAGGTCGCAGTTGTAAATGAGAACTTGTTCTCAACTGGCTTACCTGGTTAAATAAAGGTGGAAAAAAAATATTGCAGTGTAGCCTAATTTTGGTCATTTCATTTCTGGAACCTGTGCCCTGATACATTTTCCCCACTTCTTTAGTACCTCTTGTACTGGTGATTCTATGTTTCCTATCCAGTATACATTTGGATGCGTTTGTCCCGAAAATCCTACTGTCTTTGCATATTTGCCTGACATGGGGAGGTGAGAGGCATACTTTGGACTTACACATGAGTACGTTGCTCCAGTATCTATCATCATTGGGGTGCCTCTATTCTTCACCTGAACCTTTAGCATAGGTTCTTCATCAGCCTGCATAGTTACTGCCACTAGCTGACCCTCCCCTCTAGGATTCTCTGGGCATCCCTAGTATCCCTGATTTGGTCCTCCCCATAGGTTCACTGGGCCTTGTGGAGCCTGTGTCTGAGACTGTTGCCATGCATCTGAGCTGGTGTCATTTCTTTGCCAATTACCCTGTTGTGGTTGTTGTGTCTGTTGGTGTGTCTGCTGCTGTGGTCGGTGCCCTTGATTCCTGGGTCTGTTTCCATTCTTTTTGTTTTGCCACTGTCCAGGGGATTGTTGTGTGTACACATTCACTACTAAGGAGAATACTTTCTGAAGGCACTGTATACACGCTACACATGATTAATCTACTTTCACAGACCAACATTTGATCGTGAAAAGGTCAAGGAATTGTTGCATATGGATGGTGTTGTCTGACTCGGTTTCCCAATCAGATCCTTTTTACCATTTGATTATGCTCTAGAATACATTAATGGTAAGCTAAAGGTAAGCGTAAAAGGAAATCATGTCAGACAGCCAGGATAGCCTTCACTGAGGTGTTGGTCCTCCTTATATTTCAGTCCATGTGGTGGCGATAGTGTGCCACTGTTGGTTCATAGCCACCAATCCAGGAGGGAATAATAAATAGACGGTGAACTTGATTGGCTGAGGCTGAAGAGGAAGTGATTTTTCACGTGTAAATACAAACGTAACAATTATCTTTTCACCTACATTTGTCCGTTACATTATTGAAACACTGTAAAGAGATATCACGTTTAGTGTAAATGCAAACTGAGCGCTGTCACGTAATTCGGGAGGGAAATGTCGTCAAGATCGTTCGTTAACCTGATCTTTCAAGTGACGGGGAGGGTAACATGGGGACCCTCAGGACGACCTCCACTTTTTACCGTGCCACCCGTTAGCTTGGCACACGTTCAGACCGCCGGTAAGAAAGATTACGTTGATCTCCCTGTCCTAAATGAAGACGAGCTGAACGAGCAGTTTGTTAGAGGGTCTGGACCTGGTGGTCAGGCGACCAACAAAACCAGCAACTGTGTGGTGCTCAGGCACATCCCAACTGGCATTGTCGTTAAGGTGACTATCTAACATATTACATTAAGACTTCATTAGTTCATGATGACCATAAGACAACCAGTATTACACATGGACAACAATAAATACATTTACTTATCGATAGGCTATCCTCCCTGAGCCATACATCCATTAGCATATGATGTATGGCGGTCTTTTAAGTGCCCCATATCTCAATCAGTTTCATGGGAATAGCCTATGCATTTCGATCTTCTTGAATTACTGTTTGTGAGTGAATTAGTACGGAAGTCCAGAGAGGACATATGAATAAAAAAAAGATTCCCTGATTATGTCGATCACAATTTATTAATCTCATGATCACGACATATTAAAAGTAGTTTTTTTCAAGATCACATGATACATTTCTCATGATCACGACATAACAAAAGTTGTTTTGTCGAGATCATGAGAAACTCTATAAATACGAGTGGACGCAATGACGTTAGATTGACAGTATGCCTTATGCGGCAAAGCCCACAGTCAATCTGCATATTTGTTTTTATTGATTGCTACACTAAGGGATGGTACATTTTATGCTAACATAAGGCGTTCATTTGTGTTTGGAGCTCATCAGTTTATAAGTTAGAATGTTAGCAAGCTAAATGTCCTTTACCTTGAGCTAAGAGCTCTTGGGGCATCTAAGCCCTTGTGGGGCATTTAAGCCCTGAACGATGACTGACAGGCAGCTCTGTCTCCCAGACTGTATGCCACCCCCAAGACCACAGACACATGCAAGTAACAACGCAGCTACAGAGCCTTCAGAAAGTATTCACACCCCTTGACTTATTCAATATTTTATTGTGTTACAGCCTGAATTTTCTCACCCATCTACACACAATACCCCATAATGAGAAAATGAAAACATGTTTTTAGAAATTGTTGCAAATGTATTGAAAATGAAATACAGAAATATCTCATTTACATAAGTATTCACACCCCTGAGTCAATACTTTGTAGAAGCACCTTTGGCAGCGATTACAGAGTATTTTTGGGTAAGTCTCTAAGAGCTTTCCGCAGCTGGATTTGCCCATTATTCTTTTCGAAATTCTTCAAGTTCTGTCAAATTGGTTGTTGATCATTGCTAAACAATCATTTTCAGGTCTTGCCATAGATTTTCAAGTAGATTTAAGTCAAAACTGTAACTCAACCACTCATGAACATTTACTGTCTTCTTGGTAAGCAACTCCAGTTTAGATTTGGCCTTTTGTTTTAGGTTATTCTCCTGCTGAAAGGTGAATTCATCTCCCAGTGTTTGGTGGAAAGCAGACTGAAGCAGGTTTACCTCTAGGATTTTGCCTGGGCTTAGTTCCATTCCGTTTCTTTTTTATCCTGAAAAACTCCCCAGTCCTTTAACGATTACAAGCATACCCATAACATGATGCAGCCACCACTATGCTTGAAAATATGGAGAGTGGTACCCAGTAATGTGTTGTATTGGATTTGCCCCACTTTGTATTCAGGCCAAAAAGTTAATTGCTTTGCCACATTCTTTGCAGTATTACTTTAGTGCCTTGTTGAAATATTTTTGTTCTGTACATGCTTCCTTCTTTTCACTCTGTCAATTAGGTTAGTATTGTGGGGTAACTACAATATTGTTGATCCATTCTCCTATCACAGCCATTAAACTCTGTAACTGTTTTAAAGTATCCAGTGGCCTCATGGTGAAATCCCAGAGCAGTTTCCTTCCTCTCCGGCAACTGAGTTAGGAAGGACACCTGTATCTTTGTAGCGACTGGTTGTATTGATACACCATCCAAAGTGTAATTAATAACTTCACCATGCTCAAAGGGATATTCAGTGTCAGCTTCTTATTTTTTATTGTTAAACCTCCCTGGTCTTTGTGGTTGAATCTGTGTTTGAAATGCACTGCTCGACTGATTGACCTTACAGATAATTGTATGTGTGGGGTAGAGAGATTAGGTAGTCATTCAAAAATCATGTTAAAAACTGTAATTGCACACAGAGTGAGTCCATGCAACGTATTATGTGACTTGTTAAGCACATTTTTACTCCTGGACTTATTTAGGCTTGCCATAACAAAGGGGTTGAATACTTATTGAATCAAGACAGTTCAGCTTTTAATTTGTTATTAATTTGTAAAAATTTTGAAAAACATAATTCTACTTTGACATTATGGGGTATTGTGTGTAGGCCAGTGACAAAAAATCTCAATGTAATCAATTTCAAATTCAGGCTGTAACAACAAAATGTGGAAAAAGTCAAGGGGTGTGAATACCTTTCTGAAGGTACTGTAACTTCGCTAGTCTTTTAGCTAGCTAGCTAGATTTTTATGTACACTACCAGTCAAAAGTTTGGACACACCTACTCATTCAAGGGTTTTTCTTTAATTTTACTATTTTTGACATTGTAGAATAATAGTGAAGACATCAAAACTATGAAATAACACATATGGAATCATGTAGTAACCAAAAAGTGTTTAAGAAATCAAAATGTATTTTATATTTGAGATTCTTCAAATAGCCACCCCTTGCCTTGATGACAGCTTTGCACACTCTTGGCATTCTCTCAACCAGCTTCATGAGGTAGTCACCTGGAATGCATTTCAATTAACAGGTGTGCCTTCTTAAAACCTCTTAAGGATCTGACCCTTTTTATTCAATTTTCGCCTAAAATGACACCCACATCTAACTGCCTGTAGCTCAGGACCTGAAGCAAGGATATGCATATTCTTGATATCATTTGAAAGGAAACACTTTGAAGTTTGTGGAAATGTGAAATTAATGTAGGAGAATAACACATTAGATCTGGTTAAAGATAATACAAACAAAAAAACATGCATTTTCAAAAAACAAAAAATGTTTGCATAATTTTTTAATGCAAGAGAAAGGCCAGACAGTGATGTAGGATTATATATGTAATTTAGATGTTGTCCACCAGATGGCAGCAGTATGTGCAAAGTTTCAGACTGATCCAGTGAAGAATTACATCACTACACAATATTTTGTATTAAGTCTGCCAGGAGTTTTCCCAAATGTGCCGGATTGGTTTTCAAGTACATAACTATAGATAACATACAAAAATGCAATTTAAGTTTGCACACTGCCAGGAATGGCATAAATGATGGATCATTAGCTTCCCTACAGAAAAGACACTAACCTTCACACATCTAGATGGCCTGGCGGGGTGGGTGTGGAGTCAGAGGTCAAACTGTAGAACCCAGTTCCTACATTTTAATATAAAAATTGATTTTTCAAACAAAACTACACTACATTTTATCTCTGGGACCCTTAGGATGACAAATCAGAGCAAGATTACTGAATGTAAGTACATTATTTACCTTCAGAGGTGAATGTACCAAACCAATTAAGTGATAAGTGTTTTGTTGTTGTGCACTATCCTCAAACAATAGCATGGTATTTTTAGCTGTAATATCTACTGTAAATTGGACACTGCAGTTAGATTAACAAGAATTTAAACTTATGTCTATGTCCCGGAATGTTGGCTGTTGTTTACAACACCATTCTAGTCACATATTGCATATTGAGCAACAACCGTCCCGTATAAGGGACACCGATCCTGTAGAGGTTAAAAGTTAATTTGAGGAATTTATTTCCTTCTTAATGTGTTTGAGCCAATCAGTTGTGCTGTGACAAGGTAGTGGGGGGGGGGTATACAGAAGATAGCCCTATTTGGTAAAAGACCAAGTCCATATTATGAATGATCAGTTCCCGAGGGAGATTGCAGAAAGGCGCAAAGTTCTGTATCCAATCTTCAAGGAAAATAGATTAAAAGGGAAACGTGTGGCACTTGTGGTCGATAAACTATATATTGACAACCAGATGTTCAGAGACACAAAGACTACTCCATGGCTATTCAAAAAGTTGTAATAAGATATGCAAGATATTTGAATAGATATATATTTTTTAATAGTTATATATAGAGGTGACAGCATTGGAAATGCTTTTGGCGGTTAATCTGCTTCTGTTATGTGTGTGGCACTGTGTGCTGTTTTCGATGGATGGGTCCTGGCCTCTCGGGGCTCTAGGGATCCGGAGGGATGTGGGTGGGATGCCGATCACTGGGATGACGGCTCAACTTGGGATGGGGAGGGGCTTTTGCGGGGGAATTAGTGGAGAACAATTGAAGGGATACTTAGTAGCAATGCACATATCATGGTACAGCTATATGGACACTCAATCATTACGGTATTTTTTATTGGTAAATTTACAAACATATATTTACATTTACATTTTAGTCATTTAGCAGACGCTCTTATCCAGAGCGACTTACAGTTAGTGAGTGCATACATTATTTTTTTATACTGGCCCCCCGTGGGAATCAAACCCACAACCCTGGCGTTGCAAACGCCATGCTCTACCAACTGAGCTACACCCCTGCCGGCCATTCCCTCCCCTACCCTGGACGACGCTGGGCCAATTGTGCGATAAATAGACTTGAAACTTGTGTCTCATTGTGGTGTATGGTGAAAGTATAGCCAGTTATAATTGTAATGGCTTAGAAGAACAATATTTACATGGCTCAAAGAGAAGGAATATAATATCTATTGTTTACAGGAAACTCATTCAACAATTCTAGATGTTGCGTGGAAAAAGGAATGGGGGGGCGAAATATACTTCTCCCATGGGCAAAGAAACTCAAAAGGGGTGATGATATTAATTAATAGTAATTTCGATCCGAATGTGCAAATTGTCCAAATAGATACGCAAGGTACAGTGGGGGGAAAAAGTATTTAGTCAGCCACCAATTGTGCAAGTTCTCCCACTTAAAAAGATGAGAGAGGCCTGTAATTTTCATCATAGGTACACGTCAACTATGACAGACAAATTGAGAATTTTTTTTCCAGAAAATCACATTGTAGGATTTTTAATGTATTTATTTGCAGATTATGGTGGAAAATAAGTATTTGGTCACCTACAAACAAGCAAGATTTCTGGCTCTCACAGACCTGTAACTTATTCTTTAAGAGGCTCCTCTGTCCTCCACTCGTTACCTGTATTAATGGCACCTGTTTGAACTTGTTATCAGTATAAAAGACACCTGTCCACAACCTCAAACAGTCACACTCCAAACTCCACTATGGCCAAGACCAAAGAACTGTCAAAGGACACCAGAAACAAAATTGTAGACCTGCACCAGGCTGGGAAGACTGAATCTGCAATAGGTAAGCAGCTTGGTTTGAAGAAATCAACTGTGGGAGCAATTATTAGGAAATGGAAGACCTACAAGACCACTGATAATCTCCCTCGATCTGGGGCTCCACGCAAGATCTCACCCCGTGGGGTCAAAATGATCACAAGAACGGTGAGCAAAAATCCCAGAACCACACGGGGGGACCTAGTGAATGACCTGCAGAGAGCTGGGACCAAAGTAACAAAGCCTACCATCAGTAACACACTACGCCGCCAGGGACTCAAATCCTGCAGTGCCAGACGTGTCCCCCTGCTTAAGCCAGTACATGTCCAGGCCCGTCTGAAGTTTGCTAGAGTGCATTTGGATGATCCAGAAGAGGATTGGGAGAATGTCATATGGTCAGATGAAACCAAAATAGAACATTTAGGTAAAAACTCAACTCGTCGTGTTTGGAGGACAAAGGATGCTGAGTTGCATCCAAAGAACACCATACCTACTGTGAAGCATGGGGGTAGAAACCAGGATGACTGATCCGTGTAAAGGAAAGAATGAATGGGGCCATGTATTGTGACATTTTGAGTGAAAACCTCCTTCCATCAGCAAGGGCATTGAAGATGAAACGTGGCTGGGTCTTTCAGCATGACAATGATCCCAAACACACCGCCCGGGCAACGAAGGAGTGGCTTCGTAAGAAGCATTTCAAGGTCCTGGAGTGGCCTAGCCAATCTCCAGATCTCAACCCCATAGAAAATCTTTGGAGGGAGTTGAAAGTCTGTGTTGCCCAGCGACAGCCCCAAAACATCACTGCTCTAGAGGAGATCTGCATGGAGGAATGGGCCAAAATACCAGCAACAGTGTGTGAAAACCTTGTGAAGACTTACAGAAAACGTTTGACCTGTGTCATTGCCAACAAAGGGTATATAACAAAGTATTGAGAAACTTATGTTATTGACCAAATACTTATTTTCCACCATAATTTGCAAATAAATTCATTAAAAATCCTACAATGTGATTTTCTGGAGAAAAAAATTCTCATTTTGTCTGTCATAGTTGACGTGTACCTATGATGAAAATTACAGGCCTCTCTCATCTTTTTAAGTGGGAGAACTTGCACAATTGGTGGCTGACTAAATACTTTTTTTCCCCACTGTATGTCGCACATGCAGCTAACAAAAACATATGGAAATGTCTGCTCTACCCAAAATTACAACTAAATAATTGCAGCCTTACTGCAAAAATGGAAGAGGAAAGTGGAAGGAGGAGAAAGTAAGGAACTTGTCTGTCGGCCTTGCATTAAAGAACATAATTGGTTAAGGTTAAACTGATAAATAAAAAAGTATATCAGTTTCATTTAAGGACCAAAGGATTGACAGCTGTCCCATATAGATTGCAAAATAGTTGGGAAGAGATTTGACGTACCGATCCCATGGCATAGTGTTTATGAACTGATACGCAAAACGACACCGGATTCAAAACTTAGAATCTTTCAATTTAAATTATTATATAAAATGATTTCTTCCCAGCTCTTTAGATTTTGCTGCGAAGAGACAGAATCATTAGATCATTTGTTTTGGTACTGTTCATTTGTAACTTGTTTTTGGACACAGGTCCAGGAATGGCTAAAGGATTGCAATATTTACCTGGAGCTAACCCTGCAGATAGCACTACTGGGTGATCTGAAAAGTCATAGTCAATTGATCAATAACATAATACTATTAGCAAAAATGTTTATTTTCAATTCACAATCTGTAGAAACAATGAGAATAGAAAGGTTTAGAACTTTTGTAAGACATCACAGTACAGTTGAAATATATATGGCAAATAGAAATCCTATATGGATGGTGTTAAAAGATAAATGGGAGGTGTTGAATGGAATTGAAGGATGGGACTAATAACAACTAACAACAAACAATAACAAGATAACTAATAATGTAGGCACGCTGTGTCCATAATAGGTGTATGGGTTGTAGGTTGGGAGCTTTTGTGAAGGAGCACAGTTAGAAAGATATGGCATATAGAAGCAAACCGGATGGACATCATGAAAATGATCGGAGAGGTTGAGAGAAGAAGTTCAGGAGAAAGAACAAACAAAATGTAATTATTGTAAAATTGACTGTGTCCATAAAATGTAGATAGTGGGTATGGGCTGGAAGTAGAGGCCTAGGCGTTGTTGTTTACTCCAAGTGGGGAAAGGGTGGCGGGGTTGGAAAGTAATAAAGGGGAATATATATATATATATATATATATATATATATATATATATATATATATATATATATATATATATATATATATTTATTTATTTATTTATTTATTTATTTTAAAGGGTATGTATGTATGTGGGTATGTATGTATGTGTGTGTGTATGTGTGTATATATATATATATATATAACATAAACATGGGGGATTGGAAGTGATGCAGACAATTACATTGATGGAAGTTACAATCTATCTGCAATATAAAAAATAAAAAAAGTATATATTATGGCAAGAACAGCTCAAATAAGCAAAGAGAAACAACAGTCCATCATTACTTTAAGACATGAAGGTCAGTCAATACGGAACATTTCAAGAACTTTGAATGTTTCTTCAAGTGCAGTCGCAAAAACCATCAAACGTTATGATGAAACTGGCTCGCATGAGGACCGCCACAGGAATGGAAGACCCAGATTTACCTCTGCTGCAGAGGATAAGTTCATTAGAGTTACCAGCCTCAGAAATTGCAGCCCAAATAAAAGTAACAGACACATCAACATCAACTGTTCAGAGGAGACTGTGTGAATCAGGCCTTCATGGTCAAATTGCTGCAAAGAAACCACTACTAAAGGACACCAATAAGAAGAAGAGACTTGCTTGGGCCAAGAAACACGAGCAATGGACATTAGACCGGTGGAAATATGTCCTTTGGTCTGGAGTCCAAATTGGAGATATTTGGTTCCAACCGCCGTGGCTTTGTGAGACGCGGTGTGGGTGAGCGGATGATCTCTGCATGTGTAGTTCCCACCATAAAGCATGGAGGTGTTATGGTGTGGGGGTACTTTGCTGGTGACACGGTTTGTGATTTTATTTAGAATTCAAGGCACACTTAACCAGCATGGCTACCACAGCATTCTGCGGCGATACGCCATCCCAAACCCTTGAATGAGTAGGTGTGTCCAAACTTTTGACCGGTACTGTATGTCCTCTCTGGACTTCTGTAAATTAGAGCAGATGGTGTTAACAAACTATTAGCCTTTCTTGTATTTTGTTTCAATCAAAGCATATATCCTGCCTAGTGGCTCTGTTGAGTTTTGGTGCATGATATTTTTTTATGAACTATTCAGCTTCAGCTAACCATCCTAAAATCTCATTAGAAATGAGGTGTTGTTTTTGGTGTAACAGTAACGTTATAAGCCTACTATGCTATGCTATTATATTCTGTTCTGTTATGTATGTAAAATACTAATTTAAGAGTTGTGATCTTGCGAGACATTGATTCAGCTTTGATCTAACTTTACTAAACGAGCACCATTGTGAGAAGTGATAATCTTCTATTTGTAATAAGAATAATAAGTGATGAGTAGGACAATTAGGCGTAGGTACAGTGAGGGAAAAAAGTATTTGATCCCCTGCTGATTTTGTATGTTTGCCCACTGATAAAGAAATGATCAGTCTATAATTGTAATGGTAGGTTTATTTGAACAGTGAGAGACAGAATAACAACAAAAACATCCAGAAAAACGCATGTCAAAAATGTTATAAATTGATTTGCATTTTAATGAGGGAAATAAGTATTTGACCCCCTCTCAATCAGAAAGATTTCTGGCTCCCAGGTGTCTTTTATACAGGTAACGAGCTGAGATTAGGGGCACACTCTTAAAGGGAGTGCTCCTAATCTCAGCTTGTTACCTGTATAAAAGACACCTGTCCACAGAAGCAATCAATCAGATTCCAAACTCTCCACCATGGCCAAGACCAAAGAGCTCTCCAAGGATGTCAGGGACAAGATTGTAGACCTCCACAAGGCTGGAATGGGCTACAAGACCATCGCCAAGCAGCTTGGTGAGAAGGTGACAACAGTTGGTGCGATTATTCGCAAATGGAAGAAACACAAAATAACTGTCAATCTCCCTCGGCCTGGGGCTCCATGCAAGATATCACCTCGTGGAGTTGCAATGATCATGAGAACGGTGAGGAATCAGCCCAGAACTACACGGGAGGATCTTGTCAATGATCTCAAGGCAGCTGGGACCATAGTCACCAAGAAAACAATTGGTAACACACTACGCCGTGAAGGACTGAAATCCTGCAGTGCCCGCAAGGTCCCCCTGCTCAAGAAAGCACATATACAGGCCCGTCTGAAGTTTGCCAATGAACATCTGAATGATTCAGAGGAGAACTGGGTGAAAGTGTTGTGGTCAGATGAGACCAAAATGGAGCTCTTTAGCATCAACTCAACTCGCCGTGTTTGGAGGAGGAGGAATGCTGCCTATGACCCCAAGAACACCATCCCCACCGTCAAACATGGAGGTGGAAACATTATGCTTTGGGGGTGTTTTTCTGCTAAGGGGACAGGACAACTTCACTGCATCAAAGGGACGATGGACGGGGCCATGTACCTTCAAATCTTGGGTGAGAACCTCCTTTCCTCAGCCAGGGCATTGAAAATGGGTCGTGGATGGGTATTCCAGCATGACAATGACCCAAAACACACGGCCAAGGCAACAAAGGAGTGGCTCAAGAATAAGCACATTAAGGTCCTGGAGTGGCCTAGCCAGTCTGCAGACCTTAATCCCATAGAAAATCTGTGGAGGGAGCTGAAGGTTCGAGTTGCCAAATGTCAGCCTCGAAACCTTAATGACTTGGAGAAGATCTGCAAAGAGGAGTGGGACAAAATCCCTCCTGAGGTGTGTGCAAACCTGGTGGCCAACTACAAGAAACGTCTGACCTCTGTGATTGCCAACAAGGGTTTTGCCACCAAGGACTAAGTCATGTTTTGCAGAGGGGTCAAATACTTATTTCCCTCATTAAAATGCAAATCAATTTAAAACATTTTTGACATGCGTTTTTCTGGATTTCTTTGTTGTTATTCTGTCTCTCACTGTTCAATTAACCTACCATTAAAATTATAGACTGATCATGTCTTTGTCAGTGGGCAAACGTACAAAATCAGCAGGGGATCAAATACTTTTTTCCCTCACTGTAACTGTTATTTTAAACAATTGGAGCACCCTTCGTGGTTCTAAAAGGTCAGCGCTAAATACATTTTGATTTGATTAGTCTAAACACTTGGTTATAATATACCCTATTACAGAATAAAATAAGAGGTGAACTATCAATTCATAGAATTTATTTGCATAGATTTAATCATCAAATCAATTGACCATGTGGTGAACATAAATCATTACTAATTTAAGGGAATTCGTTTTAAACCAGCCATAAAATCAAGCTTTTGGTGTGGTGTATTCATGCATCTCAATAAACTATAACCTAAATACATTATTACCTCCAATTTGGCCCAGATTCACAGGCCCACAGAACCAATAGTCAATATAGGCTAAATATCCCAAGCATGGCTACAGCAACTTCCAGAGGGGGTCAGGCTCTTGGGCTTTGCGGTGGCCATTCTGGTTGGGTGTCCTCGGCAGAACGGTGTCGCCGTAACCAAGTAGTCACATATCGTTCTGGGTTCCACTGCGCAAGAGAGGGTTGGTGGAGTTTTATGAACATCAAGGCAGACACAAAGTTGAATTTAGATTATTTATTTTTTATGTTCTGATTGGCCAAAGTTGTCAAGCCTCCAACGGGCCTCCGCAGTGCACACATGTAGCCTACAGTTCTTCATCATTCTCGCCACCGCCAGAGAGAAGACAGGGAAGAAACCACCATTTACCTGCCTCTAGGCTGCTATAGACTACATATTTATTTGGTATGTCATTCTATCGTTTTTCATGGAATTTTTGTGGTAATTAAATAATTTATTTAGAATTGATCAGAATACATTTTTGGTGTATTCTCTAATTGAAAAATGAGAGGCGCGGGCCTCCCGAGTGGCGCAGCGGTCTAAGGCACTGCTTCGCAGTGCTAGAGGCATCACTACAGACCCGGGTTCGATCCCGGGCTGTATCACAACCGGCCGTGATTCGGGAGTCCCATAGGGCGGCGCACAATTGGCCCAGCGTCGTCCAGGTTAGGGGAGGGTTTGGCCGGGGGAGCTTTACTTGGCTCATCACGCTCTAGGGACTCCTTGTGGCGGGCTGGGTGCCTGTAGGCTGACCTCGGTCGTCAGTTGAACGGTGTTTCCTCCAACACATTGGTGCGGCTGGCTTCCAGGTTCCGAGCCCGATGGGGAGTTGCAGCGATGAGACAAGATCGAAATTGGGGAGAAAAAGGGGGTAAAATACACAAAAAAAAAATTGAGGCGCTCCCAGCACTACACACCTGTTTAGGAGGTACTGTAATCTGTACATTTTTATTGCTAACTCCTCTCTCCTAATTCAGTGCCATCAAACCAGATCTGTGGAAACAAACCGCAAAAGAGCGCGGGAGATAATGAGGGAGAAGCTTGAGGTCACCAACAAGGGAGAAGAGAGCGACATTCTGAAGAATAAGAAGGAGTCTATACAGAGGAAACAAGACAAGAGGAAAAAGGCAAACGAGAATTTGGAGAAGAAGAGACTTTTCAAAGAGGCACTGATGGCAGACTCCAAACCAGGGGATGACAGGGGATGAAAAGTATGCATGAACATAACATTTAGACTGATCAACAAATATGTCCTACCTCATTATGATCTGTATTGTAAATAAAGAGCACCTATTGAAATTAATTATATTGTTATCAATCTGTCTAAGGTACAGGAATGATGTCATAGTATTTTCTGTAATTGTAATTAAATTAAGTTTTATTACAACGGGTAATAAATACAAAGACGCAAACAATGGCTTTAATGATCTCCCGTGTGGCGCAGTGGTCTAAGGCACTGCATCGCAGTGCTAGCTGTGCCACTAGAGATCCTGGTTCGAATCCAGGCTCTGTCGTAGCCGGCCGCGACCGGGAGACCCATGGGGCGGCGCACAATTGGCCCAGGGTAGGGGAGGGAATGACCGGCAGGGATGTAGCTCAGTTGGTAGAGCATGGCGTTTGCAACGCCAGGGTTGTGGGTTCGATTCCAACGGGGGTCCAGTATGAAAAAATAATAATAAAAAATATATAATGTATGCACTCACTAACTGTAAGTCGCTCTGGATAAGAGCGTCTGCTAAATGACGTAAATGTAATGTGGTGTGTTTGGCACTATCCCTTTTGCGGTCACTCATGCTTAAATATGTTTAAAAGATACTAGCTAGTACTCATCCATTGTCAAAATGCCCTTTATACACTCTTACACTATAAAATCCATGCGAGTTTCACTAAATGATAGGGGCATTGCTACATGCAATGCATAAAAAAAAAATATACAGTGAGGGAAAAAAGTATTTGATCCCCTGCTGATTTTGTACGTTTGCCCACTGACAAAGACATGATCAGTCTATAATTGTAATGGTAGGTTTATTTTAACAGTGAGAGACATAATAACAACAAAAACATCCAGAAAAACGCATGTCAAAAATGTTATAAATTGATTTTCATTTTAATGAGGGAAATAAGTATTTGACCCCTCTGCAAAACATGACTTAGTACTTGGTGGCAAAACCCTTGTTGGCAATCACAGAGGACAGACGTTTCTTGTAGTTGGCCACCAGGTGTGCACACATCTCAGGAGGGATTTTGTCCCACTCCTCTTTGCAGATCTTCTCCAAGTCATTAAGGTTTCAAGGCTGACGTTTGGCAACTTGAACCTTCAGCTCCCTCCACAGATTATCTATGGTATTAAGGTCTGGAGACTGGCTAGGCCACTCCAGGACCTTAATGTGCTTCTTCTTGAGCCACTCCTTTGTTGCCTTGGCCGTGTGTTTTGGGTCATTGTCATGCTGGAATACCCATCCACTACCCATTTTCAATGCCCTGGCTGAGGGAAGGAGGTTCTCACCCAAGATTTGACGGTACATGGCCCCGTCCATCATCCCTTTGATGTGGTGAAGTTGTCCTGTCCCCTTAGCAGAAAAACACCCCCAAAGCATAATGTTTCCACCTCCATGTTTGACGGTGGGGATGGTGTTCTTGGGGTCATAGGCAGCATTCCTCCTCCTCCAAACACGGCGAGTTGAGTTGATGCCAAAGAGCTCGATTTTGGTCTCATCTGACCACAACACTTTCACCCAGTTCTCCTCTGAATCATTCAGATGTTAATTGGCAAACTTCAGACGGCCCTGTATATGTGCTTTCCTTGCGGGCGCTGCAGGATTTCAGTCCTTCACGGCGTAGTGTGTTACCAATTATTTTCTTGGTGACTATGGTCCCAGCTGCCTTGAGATCATTGAAAAGATCCTCCCGTGTAGTACTGGGCTGATTCCTCACCGTTCTCATGATCATTGTAACTCCACGAGGTGAGATCTTGCATGGAGCCCCAGGCTGAGGGATATTGACAGTTATTTTGTGTTTCTTCCATTTGCGAATAATCGCACCAACTGTTGTCACCTTCTCACCAAGCTGCTTGGCGATGGTCTTGTAGCCCATTCCAGCCTTGTGTAGGTCTACAATCTTGTCCCTGACATCCTTGGAGAGCTCTTTGGTCTTGGCCATGGTGGAGAGTTTGGAATCTGATTGATTGATTGATTGATTGATTGCTTCTGTGGACAGGTGTCTTTTCTACAGGTAACAAGCTGAGATCTAAGCTGAGAAAAATGAGACCTAATCTCAGCTCGTTACCTGTATAAAAGACACCTGGGAGCCAGAAATCTTTCTGATTGAGAGGGGGTCAAATACTTATTTCCCTCATTAAAATGCAAATCAATTTATAACATTTTTGACATGCGTTTTTCTGGATTTTTGTTGTTGTTATTCTGTCTCTCACTGTTCAAATAAACCTACCATTAAAATTATAGACTGATAATTTATTTGTCAGTGGGCAAACTTACAAAATCAGCAGGGGATCAAATACTTTTTTCCCTCACTGTATATATATATTTTATACAAGCAATATTGAAATTAGGCATTCCCAATGGGAACACAAATAAAACCAGGAAATTCCTGTCAAGTACAGCTCATAGGTAACTTTTTTGTCGAAGCCCCATGTGCCACCTCGGTTATTTTTTTAAAAATGACGTTTTAGTCAATACTTTTATTGGACCAATAAAAACTAAGGGCTTTGTCTTTTGAGTCTTGTAGATCTTCAGTCTGGAGAGTTGATCCAATTCAATCCAATAACTTTGTTTGCACTTTGCCTGTTAGGGCCTTGCATTTCTCTCAGTTTCTGCCAGGCATTCACGTACAAGCCCCCTGGCATGAATGATACCTTCAAATGAAAAACAAAAGAAAAGGTAAAAACACACAATTAAGTTCTACAAGTACATGTAACATCAAATTATAACTTTACAGAACCCAATGGTGCATAGTAGATTTCACACGGCAAGCACTAGATTTGGAGAACCCAAGGAGGCATACAGCCCTCTCTATTGTTTTCAGTCAGACATATGGACCACTGCTGGGCCAATGTGTACTACAGTCCTGACGCTCTGTTTGAAAGTTTAGAAACATTCATAATCCCTGCTTGTGATACGCTTTTGGAAGCCTTTGGAACGTTCATATCACGGAGAACTAATTTTACCAATACAAAATATATACTTGCTGTGCGCCTTTTTAACAGGTTCCCACAGAGGTATTTTGCGTTGCACATTTACCTGAACTACGGCGACAGTTCATAAGCTAATGGAAACTCGAGGGAATAAAAATAAAAACAGTCGAAGCTGTGTGTTGTGTATTGGGGTTGTGCCGCAGAGCATCATGGGAGGTGTATGTGTTGTAGACCGAGCACGTTCTAGATAAATGGTTGAACTGATTCCTGTCTCATCATTATTGAATTGTTATAAGGAGGTGGTTATGAAACCCACGAGACAACACTGTTACACCAAAAAACTGTGAATCTATGGTAAAACAGTTAACAGTAAGTGTACCTTTACCTTGCTTTATCAAATACAATTGTATTGGTCGGGTGTAGCAAAATGTTCCTAGCTCCAACAGTGCAGTAATAACTAACAATACAAAGCAATACACGCAAATCCCACAAATAAAAAGAAAGAAATATTAGAACGAGCAATGTCAGAGTCTGGAATATAAATATACACAGTGTACAAAACATTAGGAACACATTCCTAATATTGAGTTGCACCCCCTTTTGCCCTCAGAATAGCCTCAATTCGTCGGGGCATGGACTCTACAAGGTGTTGAAAGCGTTCTACAGGGATGCTGGCCCATGTTGACTCCAATGCTTCCCACAGTTGTGTTAAGTTGGCTGGATGTCCTTTGGGGGTGGACCATTCTTGATACACACTGAGTGTGAAAAACCCAGCAGCGTTGCAGTTCTTGACACATTCAAACCGGTGCACCTGGCACCTACTACCATAACCCGTTCAAAGGCACTTCAATCTTTTGTCTTTCTCATTCATCCTCTGAATGGCACCCATACACAATCCATGTCTCAAGGCTTAAAAATCCTTATTTAACCTGTCTCCTCCCCTTCATCTACACTGATTGAAGTGGATTCAATAAGGTGACATCAAAAAGGGATCATAGCATTCACCTGGTCAGTGTATGTTTTGTACACTCAGTGTATATACACATTATGGACAGTATATGAATAGAAAAGGTGTGTACAGCAGTAGTTATATAGAATAAGCCTTGAATAGAATACAGTATATACATATGAAGTGGGTAAAACAGTATGTAAACATTATTAAAAGTGACCAGTGTTCAATGACTATGTACATAGGGCAACAGTCTCTAGGTGCAGGGTTGAGTACTGGGTGGTAGCCGGCTAGTAACAGTGACTAAAGTTCAGGGCAGGGTACTGGGCGGAGGCCGGCTAGTGGTGACTATTTAACAGTCTGATGGCCTGGAGATAGAAGCTGTTTTTCAGTCTCTCGGTCCCAGCTTTGATGCACCTGTACTGTCTCCGCCTTCTAAATGGTAGCGGGGTGAACAGGCTGTGGCTCGGGTGGTTGAGGTCCTTAATGATCTTCTTGGCCATCCTGTGACACCGAGTGCTGTAGATGTCCTGAAGGGCAGGCAGTGTGCCTCCGGTAATGCGTTGGGCTGACCGCACCACCCTCTGGAGAGCCCTGCGGTTGCGGACAGTCCAGTTGTGTGCCAGGCCGTGATACAGGCCGACAGGATGCTCTCAATGGTGCATCTGTAGAAGTTTGTGAGGGTCTTAGGGGCCAAGCCAAATTTCTTCAGCCTCCTGAGGATGAAGAGGTGCTGTTGCGCCTTCTTCACCACACTGTCTGAGTGGATGCACCATTTCTGGTTGTCAGTGATGTGCACGCCGAGGAACTTGTTGTGTCGTTTGTAAACTTGATGATTGAGTTGGAGACGTGCGTGGCCACTCTGTCATGGGTGAACAGCGAATTTGCCTATTGTAATACTGTATTAGGTTATATTTAACACAAAATATTTCAAAAGATAGTACTAATGTCAAACTCGGATGACTGAATGAATGAAATAGAATGCTGCAGATGACTATGTACACATCTACTGTAGCCTGTGCTAGTAGCCTAATAAGGATAAAGGACATTATTACAATTACATTATTATTATCCTACACATATTGTTGTTACAGTAAAACGTTTAATATCTAAAAATATAGCCTATGCCTACTCTTACGTCAATTATTTAAACATTTAGGCTACACAATCATGATGGACTATACAATGTGATGAATGACACGCATTGAATTGCTTCGCTTGAGTCTATGTGGTGGTGACGGAATCTAGAACTGGGAAAGCAAGAGTTCTAAAATAGAAACAGAAGGTGAGAACAAATAATATTTGCAGGTAACATTTATCTTTATCAGAATATATATATATATATATATATATATATATATATACACACACACACATTGACACATATATGTTAAACGGAATGAAAACATGTTACCTACTCGCTTACTGAGATTTTTTTATTTTTATCACATCAACCCAGACAACTCATAAAATACATTCTCGGGATACCCTTAGGGTGCGTTCGTAAATTGCCTCCAGTGTGCTCTGGGTCGTTTGTAAATTTAGCGCATTATCAGAGGGTGTTTTCGTAAATTCAATCTGGAGTGCCAGAGTGCCCTCTGGGCGTTCGTAAATTCAGAGCGTTGTCAGATTGTCTGTTCTTAAATTCAGAGTGTTTAGCTCTCGGAGTGTACACTGGACGCTGTGGCCGAGGAGTAGGGTTGATCTGAGCGTTCTGACCTCACAACTGCACAAATGGTATTGTTTCAATGGGTATGCTGCATTACTTTTATCTTGAAATACAAGGTCTGTTTAATTCATGTAGGCTGTATGGGGGGTGAGATGCAATGAGGCTCAGCGAACACTGGGTGTCATAAGAGGCAAAGAACGGTCCACTTCCCGATCAATCGTTGGCGAAACAATCATGGAATCGTACTGGTAGAATTAAGTAGCCAAAGTGATACATTGTCTAGCACCCAAGCTAGCTGGTTAAAGTTGGCTAGCTTGCTAGTTACTTCCAGACACAAATGAGAGAACACCTCAATCTGATAATTTTACTCGACCTGGAAGAGCTGGTTAGGCTGTTTTCATGTTATCTAGAGCGTCATTACATTTTTTGCCGACCTTTAAAAACAAAACAAAAACATTTACATTGTTGCCAGCAGCACAGTTAGTCACCAACGCTCTGGATAACATGAAAGCAGCCTAACCAGCTCTGCTACAAGCATTGCTACACCACCAATTACATCTGCTAAACATGTATGTGACCATTTTCCTCGACCTATATATATATATACTTTTTTTTTTTTGCTAGGTCTAGGAAAATGGTCAGAGGTGAGGTTCTCTCATCCTGTCTAGCCAACGTTAGCTTGGGTGCTTGACTGCCGTTGTGAGTTCACAACGCTCAGAATTTATGAAAGTACAATCTTACAATGCTCTGCATTTACGAACGCCTAGAGCGCACTCTGGCACTCCAGAGTGAATTTACGAACTCACCATTAGTTGGGCTCCTAAAGTTTGTTTCGCACCACGCCAATCACATGCTACTAGAAGTAGCGTTTAACCAATCAGGGACGCAGTAACTTTTTAAACGATAGGAAGTCCCTGTCTTGTTATTCTGTGCGTGGTGGTGGCTCTTCATTTCGGCTTCTAGCGATGCGTTTGTTCGTTAACACAACATAACGAAGCACACGCGAACATTACACAACTTTTAACACGAACTTGTGCACATACATGTCTAGTTGTGGGAGAGTTGAGATGGCAAAAGGTAAGTAACGAAATTTATGGGTAGTAAAGTCGAGACAGGGCTGTTTTGAAGTAACGTTAGCTAGATGACGACGTTACTCCTTAGCAAGCTGCGTCCCTCATTTGACTATCAGCTAGCTAGTTATCATAAGCGTTGGATATACTGTGGATATGGTAGGCTATTAAGGTCCACTTAGCTAACCTCCTGACATGTTTGCTTTCAAAGGGAAGAAAAACAGACCCGAGGAAACCCGTCAGGTCAAAAAGAAGACAAAGGAAAATAAACCAGAAATGAATCGGGTAACTTATTATTAAATGTGTTGGAAATATAGCACTAATACAGGCAATTGGTTATCAATACTTTTCAGTTGTTAGCTAGCTAAATTATACAAGTGCGTGTTGCATCCATTCACTTATTTTAAAAAAAACAATGTGTTGCAGGACGCAGGTAATTGTCAGCCCACTATAAAAAGTATTTGGAGTCCTGGCAAACCCAGATCTCCTCTGTGTGACTACTCAAGTTCTGTCATCCAAGAGGAAAATGTGCCTGAGAAATGTACTCAAACTGAGACATCAAAGAAAGTGAAAGGTAACCCACCATTTGTCCTCCAACCACCATCATTAATGACAATGTTAAAATCTCTTACTTGGACTTCTACCTGCTCTTTTTCGTCATCATACAATATTGGTCTGAATAAGACCTTGGCGACCCACCAGATGTTGCTATGCGATGCTTGCACTCATATGTATTTTTTACCTCTAATTTCGTTGAGTCAGGAGATCGGAGTTAAGTGACCCCCAGAATAATTTCCTGTGTGAATGGCAGTAGTGTCCACTGACCAATGTCTTATGACACCACTAATTGTTTATTTAGGCATTCATTACATTCCCCTCCTGAAGCCTTATGTTTTGCTTATACAACAAAGTCTGATGTACACTGTGCTTCTTTCCAAACTATTCTATTCAGGGAGACTGAATAAAGTGAGGACCTGCCTGGCTCTGGTACCCAGAGAGACAACTACCCTGCATGTCCAGGAGGAGGATCCACAATCACACCCCAACCCAACTGCACCAGATGATGTCACCAAGCCCAAAACTGAGAGGGGGGCTAGTAAAAAAGTCAAAGTAAAAAAGTAAGTCATGTTGACAAACATGTCAGTAAAATATTTGTTCAAATGGAGCACAGTATTTCTTTGTCAGGCCAGCACTTCATGACCAGATCATCTGACCATTGGAATATTAGCTTGTTTCGCACTGGAATACTGTATTCTCTTTTCATCCAGAGCAGAAAGCAATGCTGCCCAAAACAGGAAGGTCACCGATTATTATCCTATTAGACGGAGTTCCAGAAAAAGCAAAGCTGAATTGAAGGTCAGTTTATAATGCCAGAGTGAATTGTGCTTGAAGATCAACCATGCCATTCAAGAACAAGTAAAAAAACATGTTCTTGCTCAGACTTTAATGTGTGGATGGTTTGGGATTTTAGCAATGAAGGCCTTTATCCCTGAACTATCCCTTTAACCCACAGTTTCCACTATCTGTGGATTGCATTGGATTATGCCAACTTCGTCATCCGGGCTAGGATGCTAATGTTTATTTACTCATTAAACACCACACTCTCTGCCAACAGAATGAAGAACACGGACACCTTGATTACCTGATAAAAAATGGAGTTGAAGAAGGACTGCAGGTTAGTTTAGAAATTAAAGTAACATTGTACTGAAATGGATCATCTTAACCTGGCATTTGATTTGACCTGTACTTGAACCCAATAGGTCAAACATATAGAGGGTAAGGGAAGAGGAGTGTTTGCCGTCAGACGTTTCAAGAAGGGGCAGTTTGTAATTGAGTATCATGGAGACTTGTTGCATCTGGCTGATGCCAAGGAGAGAGAGGCTCTGTATGCCCAAGACCCCGGGACTGGCTGCTACATGTACTATTTCCAGTATCTCAGCAAAACATACTGGTAAGGTATCTACTCAAACTTCATTTTAATGTGTATTAAGTAACTGACTTATGCATTGCCACAACTTTGATGTTGTCAGCTAGCTCATGGATGTTTTCAAACCTTTAATTTCCTCTTTACAGTGTGGATGCTACAAAAGAATCAACTCGCCTGGGAAGGCTGCTAAACCACAGTAAAAATGGCAACTGCCAGACCAAACTCCATGACATAGATGGAATACCTCATCTCATACTGGTAGCTTCCAGGGACATTGAGGCAAAGGAAGAGCTGCTTTATGACTACGGTGACCGCAGCAAGGAATCCATCTCGGCTCACCCTTGGCTCAAATACTGATGTGCTGTTTTTACACTAGCAGAGTATTCTCTCAAGGGAATTACTAGGTGCATTTGATTCAGCTTCTCTTTTTTTAACCATTCCATTGGCCCTAAGCTGCAAACTCGGGATTCCAGGTGAGACAAATGAAGTCTGTTTGGCTTTAATCTGCTTTTTCAAGCAATGTATTTGGGCAAAACTGTGGCAGTATGAACAATGGAGGACAACCTTCGAGATGACACATAGGTCAATTTGTTAAAACTGTATATCAATTTTTTGCTGGATTTGGGGGTAGTTTTTATACATATTTAGGCCTGTGCTTCCATGAAGATATTAAAAATATTTTGTAACATAAGCTATTGTTTTTATAATGCTGCTTTTTATATTAGTGATAATGTTAGGTATGGTTCTAGTTGAAGCAACAATTTTCATATGATCATCAATGCTCTTCAGGCTTCGGGGACACCAGCTTATACTTGATTTAAAATGTAGGTATTTGTTTTGCAATGGGTGAAATCCTAATGAATTTTGAACAATTTACAATGTAAGGTGCTCTGAGAGTAAATGAAATGTGTACATAGACAAATAAATCTGTTCAGAAATCTGGCTAGCATGGAAGCTCATTTTGCAATGCATAGAAAAGCTAGTTTGGCCTTTGACAATATACCAATGAATATTACCAAAGACATGTAACAGTCCAGCATCCTCCCTGTAGGTCAGTGTATTTCAAAATGTGCAACAAAGTGATTTTGTAATTCTAAACTGCTTTCTTTACAGCTGCTCTATTCTTATTTGAAAGGTTAAAATGGTCGACTTTAAAAGCCCTCGTGTGAACTAGCGTGAAATAGTTATGCTCAGTCACTCAGAGCAAAACATTTCCTGAAAGTGCATAAAAATTTACAAGAGACAATTTTAGTAACACTTTTATATAGTCTCTTTTACCTGTGTAGTTGCAAATGTAATTGTTGTACTTTATCTAATCCACAATAAATCATTTTGGGAGGGATTCATTACCATGATCTGTGCTACTCAACCCAGCGTTTAAAGCCATAGACATTTTCAATTGAAATGACATACACCCTCTGTTACAGTTCCTTTGTTTACAAAGTTTGAGGAAACATTTAGTTGTGAGTCTCTGCCAGTGATGTATATTTACATTTACATTTTAGTCATTTAGCAGAGAGCGACTTACAGGAGCAATTAGGGTTAAGTGCCTTGCTCAAGCGCACATCAGATGTTTCACCTAGTCGGCTCGGGGATTAGAACCAGCGACCTTTCAGTTCCTGGCACAACACTCTTAACCACTAAGCTACCTGCCGCCTATATAAACCCTTGATTGCTAATGCTATGTTTTGGCCATTGAGAGGCTTTGAAGCCACCGGTCAGCCATATTGGCAGTCCTCCATAGGAATGAATGGAATTCTACAGTATTTCAATTAAAATGTTAAGTAAAAAATACATTATTTTTGTTGTAGTGGGGACAAAATACTTGAAGGACATTTTTTGTTTTAGCTCACAATTTAAAAGTATGCATTGAGGTGTCTGATAGAATAAATGTGGCAAAAACAAACCTAGACATAAATGCATTTCTATAGATTATGAGTCATAATACCCATAAAACCTAGCGGTCAAACATGGAAATGGTTCCAATTGTTTTTTCACCATTCAATCTTCTCTTAGGGGATTTTAGAAACTTAATAAGGGCTATGTGTCATGAAGGCTTACCCTGGCGTGACGTTTACATGATAACCATGTAAATCTCTCTCGGACAAGGTGACGTATAAAAATATTTGCCGGTATTTACCCCAAACAAATGAAACGCTAATTAGCTGCTAATGTGGCTATCATTAAGAACTAAAAATGCCATGATGATCTGGATGAGACTGCCGAATTGAGGCAAAGGTAAAAAAATCTCCATTAACTATGTTAGCTAAATGTAGTAATGAATAAATGGGCAATTCTGTAAATGGTCTTGAGTTTAAAATGTACACTACCTGTTGGCAAAGGTGTCAGCTAGAGATGATGTACAGTATGAAAAAAATGTATGCACTCACTAAGTCGCTCTGGATAAGAGCGTCTGCTAAATGACTAAAATGTAAATGTAATGTGCAAGAGCTTGCAGGGATTTGTAGTCTTGCATGATGTCTACTTTGACGCGAATTAGCATTTGAGTCAGAGTAAATAGCGCCGAATATATTGTTAAGTCACCTTGCCCGAAAGAGATTTACATGGTTATCAAAACGTCACGCCAGGGTTAGTCTACACGAAACACAGCCCTTATTTTAATTGTTTCTAAATCCCCTGTGGAAAAACGATTGGGACCATTTCCCTGTTTGACCGCTAGGTTTTATGGGTATTATGAAACCTCCACTGTGGGCAAAATATTTTTACAATTGTGCAGGAATGCCAAGATGGAGGCGTGGTGGCTTCAACACAGCACCCCCTCAGTCATCAAGTGTATATACAGTGCATTCAGAAATTATTCAGACCCCTTGACTTTTTCCACATTTTATTAGGTTACAGCCTTATTCTAAAATTTATGAAATGATTACTACCCCCCCTCAATCTACACACAATACCCCATAATGACAATACGAACAACATATTTTTAGAAATGTTTGCAAATGTATTAAAAATAAACATACTTTATTTACATAAGTATTCAGACCCTTTGGTGTGAGACTCGAAATCGAGCTCAGGTGCATCCTGTTTCCATTGATCATTTACATTTGTCATTTAGCAGACGCTCTTATCCAGAGCGACTTATATGAGCAATGAGGATTAAGTGCCTTGCTCAAGGGCACAGACACATTTTTTCACCTAGTCGGCTCGGGGATTAGAACCAGCGACCTTTCAGTTTCTGGCACAACGCTCTTACCCACTAAGCTACCTGCCGCCATCTCAATATCATCCTTGAGATGTTTCTACAACTTGATTGGAGTCCACCTGTGGTAAATTCAATTGATTGGACATGATTTGGAAAGGCACACACCTGTCTATATAAAGGTCCCACAGTTGACAGTGCATGTCAGAGCAAAAACCAAGCCATGAGGTCGAAGGAATTGTCTGTAGAGCTCCGAGACAGGATTGTGTCGAGGCACAGACCTGGGGAAGGGTACCAAAACATTTCTGCAGCATTGAAGGTCCCCAAGAACACAGTGGCCTCCATCATTCTTAAATGGAAAAAATATTTAACTCTTTGGCCTGAATGCCAAGCGTCATGTCTGGAGGAAACCTGGCACCATCCTGACGGTGAAGCATGGTGGTGGCAGCATCATGCTGTGGGGATGTTTTTCAGCGGCAGGGCCTGGGAGACTAGTCCGGATTGAGGGAAAGACGAATGGAGCAATGTACAGAGGGATCATTCATGAAAACCTGCTCCAGAGCGCTCAGGACCTCAGACTGGGGTGAAGGTTCACCTTCCAACAGGGCAACGACCCTAAGCACACAGCCAAGACAACGCAGGAGTGGCTTCGGGACAAGTCTCAATGTCCTTGAGTGGCCCAGCCAGAGCCCGGACTTGAACCCGATCTAATATCTCTGGAGAGACCTGAAAATTACTGTGCAGCGACGCTCCCCATCCAACCTGACAGAGCTTGAGAGGATCTGCAGAGAAGAATGGGAGAAACTGCCCAAATACAGGTGTGCCAAGCTTGTAGCGTCATACCCAAGAAGACTCAAGGCTGTAATCGCTGCCAAACGTGCTTCAACAAAGTACTGAGTAAAGGGTCCGTATACTTGTAAATGGGTTATTTCCGTTTTTTATTTTTAATACATTTGCCCAAAATTTCTAAAAACCTGCTTTTGCTTTGTCATTATGGGATATTGGGTGTAGATTGAGGGGGGAAAAAACAATTGAATCCATTTTAGAATAAGGCTGTAACGTAACAAAATGTGGAAAAAGTCAAGGGGTCTGAATACTTTCCAAACGCACTGTATAAATCATTGGTCTGTACCATGTTATTTGACCTAAATGTGCATAGTTATTTTCCCATAACTGTATTAATGACAACAGTTAAGACAAATCTATAAAAAGACAACGCTGAGATATCATTTAAAAAGCCAAAATTATTCCACAGTTAAAAACATTCATTCATTACCGAAAATAACTGATCTAATACAAAGAATTAATAGAAAGCATGTGCATAAATGTTTTGGTTCATCGTTAATATTATTAATGCCTTAGGTCCTTGTTCTCACAGGTTGTCCTTATTTCCGTCTGAATGAAAACCTACAAAAAGAAATAAGAATTAGTTCATAATCTATTTTTAGAGTAAGCTTGCCAACACAATGTAGGTCCCTGGAAGTTACTAGTCTTAACAGAGGAGGTGAAGGAGATTGCGTGAATTTGCAGTGTCTGCTGAGGCTTGACTGAGTCACGTCAGACAGACAATAACAATACTGACAACAGCAGTGAAGCTGGCTTCGTGAAGTGGCATCAGCTCTCTCTTTCCCCCTCTTCATTCAGATTCTCCCAATCACACAGCATCAGCACAAACACAGCCAGCCAGTCACAAGCGGGTCATTACGAGGGCAGAGACAGACCGTGAGAACAAACTACACATGGTTGTCTACTGTGTGATACTATGGTTGTCTCTGAAATACTTGTTTTCAGGGTGTAAATAAACCTTTTCAAACTGCATGCTCTTCTCGCAATTCACTATGATTATGCAAAGTTAGGTGGTGAAAGAAGCTAATTGCTCACAGCTTTCTGATGGTGGTCATTCCTTCATTAGGTTCCTCTTCTTTAGTCTCATCTGTTGTGTCAGAAACGGGGTTCGAAGGGGATGGAGATACTAGGTCAACCTCTACCATTGCTTGCTCGCCCTGTGGCAGCATCCCACTGCAAGTACAACAAATCACTACATGAAATATGTGTGTGGGTTGTGGGGACTGGTCAAGTCTGGATGTGTATTCTACCTCTTGTAGAGCTGTAACTCTTCTTGTGCCACCAGTAGCTGGGCCTTGAGCTGGTTCCTCTCCTGAAGCACCTCCTTCAGCTCCTGCATTGTGAAGCGTGGTCTATTGGGATCTTTCAAGTCCACCACCAGTTTGTTTGGTCCTAGTGTTTGCTGAGAACATATTGATTAAAGGGATAAACGTATAACAAAAGACTCCACAACTGTATGTTGCACAGTAGTGTATAGCGACCCAGTGAAACTCTACGGAACATCCTTGAACATACCCTGACAGACGTAGTCCAGTTAGAGAATAACCAATTTATGGAAAATGTAAAGTTATCGATTTTGACCACAGTTACAAAGTTTCCTGGTTTGAAAAGATCAAACTCACCGCTTCCTGCCCGGCAGAACTTTCTCTCACGATTCTATCCAGTTCACTCTTCAAGTTGTCTCGTTCCATTTTCAGCTCCTCCAGTGACAGGTTGTACTTATTCACTAAAGTTTCAAACATCTCCAAAACCCGGACAATTTTGAATTGCAAATCAGAGACTTCCTCACCTGTATGACTTATTTTCAGCAAATCTCTGCCAATCACGTATGAAATGTCATAAACATCTTCCACTGTCAGCTCAAATGCTTCCTTCTCGAACGCTAAAGCGGGTGAAGACTCGCTCAACTCTTCCATTGCTCGTGTTCCAAAAACGCACTGAATTCAACACGTTTTTGTTTTCTCAACCGGTGGGAACGATTTCTCAAATCGAGCGTTGTGACATTTAACATACAAGATACTTATGAACTGTAAATTTAGTTCCATGCATGCTACAGTAGCCACTTCAAATTACGGGTAGTAGCCTAACTGAATAGACCATCCTCTTTCTAAATTCTGAATGGTTGACTTGCTGTAGCCAGTGTATAAGTGACATACAAGTAAGCCAATAGCAATGTCCTGTTCCCCTCCGCTTGTAACAAGAGAACAAATTTACCCTGGCGACAGGTGAGGCCATGCACATAATCCAGTAGGGCCACACTAATCAGGTGAAACAGCACGTGATGTTTCGCCGGTATTTTCAATTTTATACTTTAAAATTCGAAGTTTAATTGACATTCCATCAACCAGGGGGGCCTTGGGGATCTCAACGTTTGCAGGGGTCACTGAAAAAGCAGGGATAAAACTATCAAATTGAACAAGGCCAAAACATCTCACATTTTAATGCAAGAACTGACAGGCATTAAAACATTGTGCAATTTCATATTTTTAGGTGTCCACAATGAATATTGAGCACACATTGAAAACGGGTTGAAAACCCATATCTATAGGAAAAATGGTGTGTGTTCATATTCACATCACAAACAGTCAACAATATGTCAGCTTTATATTCAGACTAACAGACACTAGGAAACTTAAGTGCAGTATAGTCCAAAATAAATTATTTACATAAATAACATTGAAATATGACCGATACAGTTACATCACATCAAACCACGTCAAAATGCCTTCAATATATTTTGTCTACCTTGGGGCCTCCTTATCAGACTTGGTAAAAGTTTGCTTTTATTGATAAAATAAACATGTGAGCTATCTCTGAAGTTACACTAATACTTACTGCTAGTATAAAGCACCATAGGCTGCACAACCTAAAATGTATTCAAAAGGCACAGGATATCTCTGATTGCACATTACTCTTTCCAGAATCCATCTCTCCATTGTCCCCACAAGAGACAACTTTGTCCTGACAATCCCTCTTGGCATGAGGCTCTTCATGACTTTCTTCCTTCCCTCTTCTTAGGTTCATCTTACTCACTTCTGCCTGGAGGAACTGTCACTCTAGGCCTCAAAACACCAAGCTCTGCTGGAAAACTACGCCTTAAATATAAATCATCTGACTCCAAGCCTGAGCACATATTTGTGGTACTGTATTCAACCAGTGCTCCAATAATTCTCCCTCTGGCGCTCCCCTACACCCTCTGGTGGTAACTTGTTGTCCTGGGCTGTTCGCATGGCAATTGTGGGTGTACTGACCAGAAGCCCAGTCCTGTGCTGTTTTTACTTGGAGACCACCAGCATGGGATATTATACATTGAGTGTACAAAACATTAGGAACACCTTCCTAATATTGAGTTGCACCCCCTTATTGCCCTCAGAACAGCCTCAATTCGTCAGGGCATGGACTACAGGGTGTCAAGCGTTCCACAGGGATGCTGGCCCATGTTGACTCCAATGCTTCCCACAGTTGTGTCAAGTTGGCTGGATGGATGTTCTTTGGTTGGTGGACCATTCTTGATACACACAGGAAACTGTTGAGTGTGGAAAAACCCAGCAGCGTTGCAGTTCTTGACACACACAAACCGATGCGCCTGGCACCTACGATCATACCCCGTTCAAAGGCACTTAAATATTTTGTTTTGCCAATTCACCCTCTGAATGGCACACATACACAATCCATGTCTCAATTGTCTCAAGGCTTAAAAATCCTTCTGTAACCTGTCTCCTCATCTACACTGATTGAAGTGGATTTAACAGGTGACATCAATAAGGGATCATAGCTTTCAACTGGATTCACCTGATCAGTCTATGTCATGGAAAGAGCAGGTGTTCCTAATGTTTGGTGCACTCTGTGTAGGTCACTGGTTATGGATGCTTCAGTGCCTCCTGAGCCTGCTCTGTGTGCAAATAATCTCTCTCCCACAAATCCGGCACTTCCTCAGGTCGCCTCTTTTCTCCGGAGAAGATGCTAAACCTGGATAGGTGCAATGAGAGAAATTAAGAATTTAGGTTACACCCTGCCAAAAAAAAATACCTAGCCATGACAACACTCACTTTAATAATATTTACATTTACGTCATTTAGCAGACGCTCTTATCCAGAGCGACTTACAAATTGGTGCATTCACCTTATAGCCAGTGGGATAACCACTTTACAATATGTTTTTTTTTTCTTTAATTTTTTTCTTTCTTTGGGGTGGGGTAAGGGGGGTAGAAGGATTACTTCTATCCTATCCTATCTCATATGTATACTGCATTCTATTCTATAATATTTTACTGTATCTTAGTCCATGCCGCTCTGTCATTGCTTGTCCATATATATGTATATTTTCTTAAATTCCATTCCTTACAAGTTTTGTGTGTATTAGGTATATGTTGTGAAATTGTTAGATATTACTGCACTGTTGGAGCTAGAAGCACAAGCATTTCGCTACACCCGCTATAACATCTGCTAAACACGTGTATGTGACAAATAACATTTGATTTGACTACTGCTAAGATCAATAGCAATACATTGGTTACACTTAAGATTATTCATGAAGTGTGAGTGATAACATTGAACAAAAGCAGAATGAGTGCTTGCATGAGGAAAAGTGCTAAACAAAAGGTTGGGGGGTGCATAAGCTTTGCCCTGTCAGTGGGTTACATAGTTAGTCACTCCACTTTATTCAACAAATTAAGAGCTGTCAACAGTGACTATCCTGCTATGAGACAATCCTAGCTCAGACAACATGCATATGTGGATTTGTGGCCTTCTACTTAGTATTTTGGCAAAAGAGGTGACCATTGTAATGATCGTGGCATCTATTATGATGAGCTGGTTCAAGATCTACACATTATCAGCCAATAAGAATACTCCCACATTCTACTCACACATCATGATCACAAGGAAGCATTGCATTTGAGATGACAGGCGGAGGAGGGGCTTTGGCACAGTGGAGGTGCTTGGCTCAAGAACAATGACATCACAAAAAGAGATAAAATAAATGTAAAAGTTCATACAAAGGACATAAGTCGTCTGATCGGCTGTAACGTTGGATCGTCTGCAATCAACCCTGCTGCTACCATCGGCATTACTGCAGTGAATATCCTGTCCAAAGAAGTACAGACAAAGAGACATAAGTGAAATGACTAGTCCGAGTTTGAAACTTCATCCCTTCGTCCTGTTATAGGTCCTTCCACAAATATAACATTCCCAAACAAGCATTGTGTAAACTAAATTGTCATTATTTTTTTTTGTGCTCACGCAAGCATATTGGTCAGTGACATACAGATATAAAGCTAGATCAAATCCCTGACTGCAAACCTGAACCACTATGACAGGAAGTATGACATTAGTTAGGTTTCCACCCAATTGGCGACAGATTTTCATGCGAATATTCTAAAATCTGCGTAAAAACAATATGCACATTTTCCCACCAGAGATGTATTTCCATCAAATTGACTTGTTGGTGATACAAGTCTGTGCATGATGACGTAGTGCACATAAAAATACCTTTTGCGTTTATTAAAAAAATTAAAGTTAAATGGGTTTCCATCGCATTTTCAACGCTGATGGTTTTCTCAAAAAAAAGAAAAGCGTTATATACACTCTAAAAATTAGGGGTTCAACAAGGGTTCTTCTAAGATCCTCGAAGAACCTTAGTGTTCTTGGCACTGAAAATGGCCCCCAAAAGGTTATTCCAAGAACCCCATAGGAGGTGGGGTTCATTGAGGAACCTCCTCAGTTGGTGAGGGTTCTTGCAGGAACCTAACTGCCCAAGTGAAACATTTGGATTTGAAAGGACAGCAGGTGCAGGCAGTTAACTGAAAAATGTAAAGATCTCCTCAATTTAAGGTAATGTTTGTCCCTTGTATGATCTATATTGATATTGTTTTATGATGATACCATCTATTTGTGCAAATCTTTCTAAAACAGAAAATGGACACAATTCAATGGATATCAATCAACAAAGAGGTAAGAAAATGTAGGCTAAAATAATATGTTGAAGACTAGCTGTATTGGGTGCAGATGACTGAACTGCACACTTTTGTGTCTGCAGGTATACAGACGAGGAGCCATGCAAAGGTATGTCAATTGGTATTGGTATGTTAGGCCGATCACATTTACCATCCTCCTCCCTTACCTCTTCAATGAATATCCCATAGGCCTCTACATTATGGACAAGGTATGTGTATGAAAACGATTATCAAAACAGTTTTTTTCATTTACATTTACCATAAAAACCAAGGTATGAATACTGTTGTGAGCATGGTTTGTTAATCATCTGTATAATTCCTATTTTTTGGATTCACAGACTTCACCCTCCCTACACCTCTGATGAGTATAACAGGAAACCTGTTCGATCACCATGCACTGCAAAATCATTCTTGCTATGGATACGGAGAACATCAACACATTAACATCAACACGCCAGAGGATATACCAATTGGACTTGGAGCTCTGCTGGGAGTTTACCTCATATTTTGATTTTTTAATTTTGCTTTGCCACTAAAATCATAATAAACACTAAGAACTAAAATATTGTGTTTTTGTTGTTATTGTTATGCGTATTATTATTATTATTAATAATAATAATAGGGGAGGGGTAGTTAAAAATTAATCCCAAAAGGTTCTTTGAGGATCCATTAAAGGATACTCCAGGAACCTTTTCTTTTTAGACTAGCGAGTGTACGTACTCTGGTATTGGCACGTGCGCTCTAGCCAACAGCTGGCAGATACAGTGCTGGTATACCCTACGTTATGAGATTAACATGGACAAAATAGATTATTTTTATTTGTCAAACGGCAGCCAAGCATCGATGATCATGTCACCAGAATAAGACCCTCGATATTTTTTGGAAAGGAGCATCAAACGCATCACCTTGCACTTTCACCACCCTGTGAAGTACATAACTTAATTCAATAACTCATCTATATCCTAATAAACTGCATGCTCGTAGTGGGAGGACCACACAACATGTCATTGCGTGACTCCAAGTTTACTTTGATAATTCCTATTTTTTGGATTCACAGACTTCACCCTCCCTACACCTCTGAATATGCCAAGAGTGTGCAAAGGTGTCATCAAGGCAAAGGGTGGCTATTTGAAGAATCTCAAATATAAAATATATTTTGATTTGTTTAACACTTTTTTGGTTACTACATGATTCCATATGTGTTATTTCATAGTTTTGATGTCTTCACTATTATTCTACAATGTAGAAAATAGTAAAAATAAAGAAAAACCCTTGAATGAGTAGGTGTTCTAAAACTTTTGACCGGTAGTGTATATACACTATATATACAAAAGTATGTGGACACCACTTCAAATTAGTGGATTCAGCTATTTCAGCCACACCCGTTGCTGACAGGTGTATAAAATCGAGCATACAGCCATGCAATCTCCATAGACAAACATTGGCAGTAGAATGGCCCGTACTGAAGAGCTCAGTGACCTTCAACGTGGCACCGTCATAGGTTGTCACCTTTCCAACAAGTCAGTTCGTCAAACTTCTGCCCTGCTAGAGCTGTCCCGGTCAACTGTAAGTGCTGTTATTGTGAAGTGGAAACGTCTAGGATCAACAACGGCTCAGCCATGAAGTGGTAAGCCACACAAGCTCACAGAACGGGATCGCCAAGTGCTGAAGCCCGTAGCACGTAAAAATTGTCTGTCCTCGGTTGCAACACTCACTACCGAGTTCCAAACTGCCTCTGGATGCAACGTCAGCAATATAACTGTTCGTCAGGAGCTTCATGAAATGGGTTTCCATGGCCGAGCAGCCGCACACAAGCCTAAGAACACCATGCGCAATGCCAAGCGTTGGCTAGAATAGTGTAAAGCTCAACACCATTGGACTCTGGAGCAGTGGAAACGCGTTCTCTGGAGTGATGAGTCACTCTTCACGATGCCAGGAGAACACTACCTGCCCCAATGCATAGTGCCAACTGTAAAGTTTGGTGCTTTTGGTCATGTAGTGTATATATTTTTCGTTTAATGTGTATTTTATATTGTATTATACAGGGCGCATTTGGAAAAGAGACCTAGGTCTCAATATGTTTTCCCTGTCAAAATAAAGGTTAAATAAAAATACAAAAAATTGTAAAACGGCAGTCAAGCATCAATCATCATGTCACCAGATTAAGACCCTCGATATTTACTGAAATGGAGCATCAAGATCCCCTTGCACTTTCACCACCCTGTGAAGTTCAAAATAACTTATTTCATCTGTATCCTAATAAACTGCATTGTTTCCCGAGTCGTAGTGGGAGGACCACACGCCATATCATCTCATGACTCCAAGTTTACTTTACATTTACATTTTAGTCATTTAGCAGACGCTCTTATCCAGAGCGACTTACAGTTAGTGAATACATATTTTTTTTATTTGTATTTTTTTTGTTTTTGTTTTTATACTGGCCCCCCGTGGGACACGAACCCACAACCCTGGCGTTGCAAACGCCATGCTCTATCAACTGAGCTACATCCCTGCCGGCCATTCCCTCCCCTACCCTGGACGACGCTGGGCCAATTGTGCACCGCCCATGAGTCTCCCGGTCGCGGCCGGCTGCGACAGAGCCTGGATTCGAACCAGGATCTCTAGTGGCACAGTTAGCACTGCGATGCAGTGCCTTAGACCACTGCGCCACTCAGGAGTACTTTGATACGATGGTTATTATATCGATATTTACGCATAAAGGCATTTCCACCGGCATTTCTCGCATTATTAATTTTATTGACACAAAAAGATCCCACCACGTCGAACGAACAAATTATCGGTCAGCATTTTTTTATTTATTACTGAAACTTCCATCACAGCTGTCGTGATGACTTTACTTGCATAAAAACTGTGGATGGAAACGTGGTTAGTGACAACCTTGTTTGAAAATGTTAGAGATTGTGGGAATGATACGCTGAGCACCTATATGTGTGTGGCCTGAGCATATACCATCAAGAGAGATAGAGTGGGGTATTATGGTGTAGGTGTAGTGGGTCTCAGTACTTACAGACGTTTGATCCCTGAGTCAGGCTGTTCAGCGGTTGCAGGCTGTGACTGAAGTGGTGGATCCAAGTTGATGCCGTAAATCTCATTCTCCAACTCCTCACTGAGGCAGGGAGAAGGGATTCATTAAAAGACTGTGGACTTAGTGAAGTCATCAAGATGGGGCTATCAAGTGTTTGTCTGTATTATGAACTAAATACAAAAAATGAAAAGGAGAAAGTGGAATACTACATCATTAGTAAATGTACACTGAACAAAAATATAAACGCGACATGTAAAGTGTTGGTCCCATGTTTCATGAGCTGAAATAAAAGATCCCAGAAATGTTCCATATGCACAATAAGCTTTTTTCTCTTACATTTTGTGCACAAATGTGTTTACATCCCGGTTAGTGAGCATGTATCCTTTACCAAGATAATCCATCCCCCTGACAGGTGTGGCATATCAAGAAGCTGCAACTTGTGCTGGGACAATAAAAGGCCACTCTAAAATGTGCAGTTTTGTCACACAACAATGCCACAGATGTCTCAAGTTGAGGGATCGTGCAATTGGCATGCTGACTGCAGGAATGTCCACCAGAGCTGTTGCCAGAGAATTTAATGTTCATTTATCTACCATAAGCCAACTCCAATGTCGTTTTAGAGAATTTGGCAGTACGTCCAACCAGCCTCACAACCGCAGATCACGTGTATGGCGTCGTGTGGGCGAGCAGTTTGCTGATGTCAAAGTTGTGAACAGAGTGCCCCATGGTGGCGGGGGGGTTATGGTATGGGCAGGCAGGCATAAACTACGGACAACGAACACAATTGCATTTTATTGATGGCAATTTCAATGTACAGAGATACCGTGACGAGATCCTGAGGCCCATTGTCGTGCCATTCATCCGCCGCCATCACCTCATGTTTCAGCATGACAATGCACGGCCCCATGTCGCAAGGATCTGTACACAATTCCTGGAAGCTGAAAATGTCCCAGTTCTTCCATGGCCTGCATAGTCACAGATGTGTCACCCGTTGAGCATGTTTGGGATGCTCTGGATCGACGTGTACGATGGCATGTTCCAGATCTGGCCAATATCCAGCATTCCACAGGCCACAATCAACAGCCTGATCAAAACTATGCGAAGGAGATGTGTCACGCTGCATGATACTGACTGGTTTTCTGATCCACGCCCCTACTTTATTTTTTAAAGGTATCTGTGACCAACAGATTCATATCTGTATTCCCAGTCATGTGAAATCCATAGATTAGGGCCTAACGAATTTATTTCAATTGACTGATTTCCTTATATGAACCGTAACTCAGTAAAATCTTTGAAATTGTTGCATGTTGCGTTTATATTTTTGTTCAGTATCGTAATAACATAAGATGCAGTTGAAGAGACAGGGGTATTAAAAAGTGATGATAGTCCCTTGTCCCTCAACTCTAGGTGAATCTTTTTTTTTTATTCACTTCGTTTTTTCACATCATGTAACCTTTTGTAATAGATGAGCTCCTCTCGCAGCATGAACACTTGGGCTTTGAGTTCGTTCCTCTCCTGCAGGACGTCCTGTAGCTCCTCAAGGGTAAAGTGGGGCCTGTCGGACTCCTTCTGGTCCAGGGCATCAGGTTCCTCCTCATGCTCCTCGTCATACAGCCGGAGGACAGGAGGGCTCTCTGCTGACTCAAAGCACTGTGCCAGGAATTCATGGTCACCTCTGCATTCCGCCCAAAAAGAATTGTGTACGATGGAGGCTGCTGATGCTGGTACCAATGACTGGATTTGGGAAATAGCATGGTCACTTTCAGTGCTATGAAAGGCTTTGTGAGCAGTGGCAATGATACTCAATAGCTAATCTACAAGAATGACTCACCCTCCTTGGGTGGATGTAATGTTATTTTGTTCTTGTCAATAGGGAACTTAAACCCCTGTAATTTGGGTATAATCTTCTTAACTCTATAATCTTCTTAACTCTATAAGGTAAAGCGTACAGATATGTAATGGTGTCTTAAAGAGAAATGTAATGGACTTGATCAGGTAGGGGGTTGTAACTGTGGTTACCTTAGCCGACGCTGGTGTAAGCACTGTCATCACAGCCTTTGAGGGTGACGGTTCCTCCTCGGTTGACCTCTTTATGTCCAGCTCCCACTCTTGGCGCTCCTCCTTCAGCCTTGCCACCTCCTGCTGCAGGGCCCCCAGCTCCTGCTGTCGCGCCTGGGACACAGCCTCCAGCTCAGCCTTCTGCTGGATCACTGCCTTGCCCTGAGCCTCTACCACACTGATCCTGTGCCGCAGGTCCAGGTTGATCTTCATCAGACGGTGCTGCTGCAGCTGAATCTATAAGGGGAGGAAGGAGTCCATTTAATCCTACTCATTTGTCTGTAATGAACTGATGGAAACTCTGAGTGTCCAGATTGTTTGTGGAAGTTGGTGTCCTCCTCAGGCATGAGAACAACTGTGAAAGATGAGACATCTATGTGCTGGAGCATTAGGCTACAGACAGTAGGAGGCCTAGGAGCGATGTCTTATGTAGTTCAGGGAGTGTGGAATGCTACTAGATGGAAAGAGACAAGCCTCACCGCCTCCAGGTCCTCGTTCTTGAGGTTCAGCTCATGGTCCTTATCCCGGATCTCATCCCTCTGTTTGTCTACCACCTCCTTTAGCATCTTCATCAGCTGACGCTCTCTCTCTGACACACCTGTTCAAGACATACACACATACAGCCCACACAGGCATTAACACATAAACATATATCAGCACATACTGTGTTAAATAAAACTAACTGTGATAATGTAACAGGTGGAACTAATGCTGCTGAACTAATGTTGCTGAATTTAAATACTTCCGAATGTTATGTAGTTTTATTCAGAGCATTACCAAGGGACAATAATACTATATCTAAATGGCAAAGGAATTCAGTCTTAAATAGCACATACTGTACAATGCATGTAGTCAGAAGTATATCTACCAGAGAGCTTTCTCATCTCATGTCATGCATACATGAGATGTAATATGTGTCCGTATATGTTCAGTATTATAGCTGGTTGGTCATCCTGATTTGTTCGGTGTTTCTAGGTTCATGTGTGTTTTGGCCCTATGAGTAAATATAGCCATGGTGACCAATGAAAGACTCGCACATGGGCTGTATTTCTGTCTGGTTTTAAAATAGTTCCCTTTACTGCCTCCTCACCCTCTGTCTCTGATGTCAGCAAGTTAACACATGTAGTGGACACAAACACACTAAAAGATGAGATGTTGGCTTACATGCAGAACCTGACATCACACTTCTTCTAATGGAGGATCATGACTCATGGCTTCATAGACATGATATAACCCTATAATAGACCAATAAGACCTACTAACCCTCATAAAAAGGAACACTTTTGATGAGGGTTAGTAGGTTCAATCTGATCTGTCCTGGGCAATGCTTTGTTTTACGTCAAAACATACAGCGAGACAAAAAATATTAACACAAGACACAAACAGATAATGAGATGAAATGGGTCCCTGTCACACCCTGCATAACATGCCAATACCTGATATCAAACTCAAACACCCACACTAAAACATACACACGCATATTCCAGGGGCACCTGGTAGCATGTAGGTCAAATGACACTTCAACGTATAAATCAGTCCCATTTATGGTGCATCACCTGATCATGTCTTCCTACTGGATTTAGGTACAGCTGGAAATTCAGGTGTTCACTGACATGGTGATCAGAGACCCTGTGTTGCCAGCAATACAATGCTCTACTTTCTGTAGTTTATGTTCTCCATGTCACGTCTCCCCGGCGCTCTGATTCGCCAGTCTACTGAGCCACCGGTCTGAGCGCACCACCTCGGCAACACCGGAATGGAAACCCAACGCACCCTAATCACCTCCAGCGCACCTGCACCTCATCATCTCATCACCACTCCTATTTAGCCCTGGACTGTTCTGGATGATGTTGTGTGTGATTGTTAAGCTTCATGTCATTTACTCTATCTTGGTTATTTCTCTTGCCAATTGTTAAGTAAATCTTGACCATGTTAATTCCAGCGTCTGCGTACTGCCTCTTCGTATACTCAGCACTAGTCACAGAATCACACACCAAATGAAAATGGATGCAGCAGGAGTTTCCCAGTGCCTCGACCAGCACCAGCTTGCCCAGTTGAACGCCGCCATGCAGGAAGTGCTCCAAACTCTGCATAATCTGCCCAGAGCTTCGGTTCCACCTCAGGGAGTGGCGAGTGCCCCCAATCCACCTGTTCCCGTGGTATCACCCACTCCTGCGGGAACCCTCGCCCTACCGGAGCGCTATGACGGTAAAACTACTAAATGTAGCGGCTTCCTGCTACAGGTTTCCCTTTATCTGGCACGTCAGCCTGGGGCATATCCATCTGACCAAGCCAGGATAGTGCTGGTGATTTCACTTCTTAAAGGAAAGGCGCTGGATTGGGCCACGGTAGTCTGGGAAGGAGAGGAGGCAGTGGCGCTTCCCTACCCCACCTTCCTCGCTAGGTTCAGGGCGGTGTTTGATCATCCCACGGAGGGAAAGGGCGGGGGTGAGCGTCTCCTCCATCTACAACAGAGAGAGAGGGGCCAGCGTCCGAGTACGCTCTGAGCTTTCGCACGGTGGCAGCGTTTTCCGGCTGGAATGAGCGTGCTCTGCGCACTGCCTTCAGGAGAGGCTTATGGGAGGACATCAAGACGGAACTCGCATGTCGGGACGATGAGATGGACCTTGATACCCTCATCACCACGTCCATCCGTCTTGACGACATGTTGGGAGAGAGACGGCATTCCCAACACCTCCCGGAGCCTCGACGCTCACCCCCTCTGAGCTATGGAAGCCGCCCTGCTTCTGAGTCCTCACCCATGGAGGTGGGCAGCACCCCCTACACAACCACGGACCACAGATCTCCTGGCGGCTCCCTATCTAGGCGGTAAGACTCCCGTCGCCTCTCCGTGAGTGTTACGTCAGCTCCTATCACAAAACCATTGTTTTTAGTTCTCATAACGGTGACTGGTTATTCCTTCTCTTCCATTTCTACCGCAATGATCAGCGGGGAACATTATAGATAGGGAGCTGGTCTCTGAATGGGGGTTGCCCACCGTTCCACTGCCATCTCCGCTACACGTCACCTCACTGGACAATAAACCCCTTGGATCAGGCACCATTACACACGTCACTCTCCCCATCACCATCACCATTCCCACACTACCGGAGCACCACGAGGAGCTGTCATTCCACATCGTCACGTTACCCCTTCACCGGATTGTCTTGGGATTGCCCTGGCTCAGAGTACACAACCCCACCATCAATTGGAGCACCAAGAGGATCACAGCCTGGTCCCCCTCATGCCGGAAGACCTGCCTGCCGGTGGTTTGTTGTTCCACGTCAGTGGAGAGTCCGGAGTCCGCCCTCCAGCCCAACATTCCACGTGAGTATGCAGATCTCTCCGATGTCTTCTCTTCAGTAAAGGCTACGTGTCTCCCTCCTCACAGGCCCTGGGACTGCACCATTGACCTGCTGGAGGGACAACACCCCCCGAAGAGTCGCATTTACCCCCTTTCCATGGCGGAGACTGAGGCCATGGAGAAGTAGAGTGGGGGAAAAAAGTATTTAGTCAGCCACCAATTATGCAAGTTCTCCCACTTAAAAAGACGAGAGAGGCATGTAATTTTCATCATAGGTACACGTCAACTATGACAGACAAATTGAGAATTGTTTTCTCCAGAAAATCACATTGTAGGATTTTTTATGAATTTATTTGCAAGTTATGGTGGAAAATAAGTATTTGGTCACTTACAAACAAGCAAGATTTCTGGCTCTCACAGACCTGTAACTTCTTCTTTAAGAGGCTCCTTTGTCCTCCACTCTTTACCTGTATTAATGGCACCCGTTTGAACTTGTTATCAGTATAAAAGACACCTGTCTACACACTCCAAACTCCACTATGGCCAAGACCAAAGAGCTGTCAAAGGACACCAGAAACAAAATTGTAGACCTGCACCAGGCTGGGAAGACTGAATCTGCAATAGGTAAGCAGCTTGGTTTGAAGAAATCAACTGTGGGAGCATTTATTAGGAAATGGAAGACATACAAGACCACTGATAATCTCCCTCGATCTGGGGCTCCACGCAAGATCTCACCCCGTGGGGTCAAAATGATCACAAGAACGGTGAGCAAAATTCCCAGAACCACACGGGGGGACCTAGTGAATGACCTGCAGAGAGCTGGGACCAAAGTAACAAAGCCTACCATCAGTAACACACTACGCCGGTACTAAGCCAGTACATGTCCAGGCCCGTCTGAAGTGCATTTGGATGATCCAGAAGAGGATTGGGAGAATGTCATATGGTCAGATGAAACCAAAATATAACTTTTTGGTAAAAACTCAACTCGTCGTGTTTGGAGGACAAAGAATGCTGAGTTGCATCCAAAGAACACCATACCTACTGTGAAGCATGGGGGTGGAAACATCATGCTTTGGGGCTGTTTTTCTGCAAAGGGACCAGGACGACTGATCTGTGTAAAGGAAAGAATGAATGGGGCCATGTATCGTGATATTTTGAGTGAAAACCTCCTTCCATCAGCGAGGGCATTGAAGATGAAACGTGGCTGGGTCTTTCAGCATGACAATGATCCCAAACACACCGCCCGGGCAACTAAGGAGTGGCTTCGTAAGAAGCATTTCAAGGTCCTGGAGTGGCCTAGCCAGTCTCCAGATCTCAACCCCATAGAAAATCTTTGGAGGGAGTTGAAAGTCTGTGTTGCCCAGCGACAGCCCCAAAACATCACTGCTCTAGAGGAGATCTGCATGGAGGAATGGGCCAAAATACCAGCAACAGTGTGTGAAAACCTTGTGAAGACTTACAGAAAACGTTTGACCTGTGTCATTGCCAACAAAGGGTATATAACAAAGTATTGAGAAACTTTTGTTATTGACCAAATACTTATTTTCCACCATAATTTGCAAATAAATTCATTAAAAATCCTACAATGTGATTTTCTGGATTTTATTTTCTCACTTTGTCTGTCATAGTTGACGTGTACCTATGATGAAAATTACAGGCCTCTCTCATCTTTTTAAGTGGGTGAACTTGCACAATTGGTGGCTGACTAAATACTTTTTTTCCCCACTGTATGTGGCGGAGACCCTGAAATAGGGATTCATCAGACGCTCTACCTCTCCTGCCTCCGCCAGCTTCTTCTTCGTGGCCAAAAAAGACGGAGGACTGAGACCATGCATTGACTACAGGGGGCTGAACGCAGTCACCACCAAGTACCAGTACCCCCTCCCTCTGGTTCCGTCGGCCATCGAGCAGCTACGAGGGGCCTGGTACTTTACCAAGTTGGACCTAAGGATTGCCTACAACCTGATCCGATTCCGGGAAGGAGACGAGTGGAAGACGCCATTCAGCACTACATCAGGCCACTATGAATACTGCGTCATGCCCTACGGCCTCGCCAACGCACCTTCTGTGTTCCAGTCCTTCGTCAATGACGTGTTCCGGGACATGCTGATTGACAGGTGGTGGTGTACATTGACGATATCCTGATCTACTCGGCTAGGTTCGAAGAGCACATCAAGGACGTCCGAGCTGTCCTACTCCGCCTCCGGGAACACAGCCTGTTGGTGAAGGGGGAGAAATGCTAATTGCACCAACAGGCCATCTCCTTCCTGGGATACCGGATCAGTCCTCAGGGGGTGTTCATGGATAGAGTGAAGAAGGACGCCGTCAGGTCATGGCCATTTCCCACCACCATCAAGGGCCTACAGAGCTTCCTGGGCTTCGCTCATTTCTACCGGCGTTTCATCAGGTCCTTCAGCTCCATTGCCGCCCCGCTCACCTCTCTCCTTAAGGGTGGGCCTCAGAAGTTGGCCTGGAACCCTGAGGCTGACGCTGCCTTCAAGAGGCTGAAGGAGAGGTTCACCACAGTGCCCATCCTAAATCACCCAGATCCATCTCGTCCTTTCATCCTGGAGGTGGACGCATCGGAGGAGGGCGTGGGTGCGGTCCTCTCCCAGCGGCACGGTAAGCCAGAGAAAATGTATCCCTGTGCCTTTTTCTCTAAAAAGCTTACCCCCGCAGAGAGGAACTATGGAGTTGGGGACAGGGAGCTGTTGGTGGTGGTCCTCGCTCTGGAGGAATGGAGACACTGGCTGGAGGGTGCAGTCCATCCATTCCGGATTCTTACTGACCACTGGAATTTGGAGCACATACGGGCAGCAAAACCGATGAACTCTCGTCAACCCAGGTGGGCCCAATTTCTCACTCGCTTCCAATTCATTCTGTCCTACCGCCCAGGATCCCAGAATGTGAAGGCCGACGCACTCTCCAGGATGCACCATACCGGAGAAAGGAAGGATCTGGGGGGTCCTATCCTGCCCTCGTCTCTCATCGTTGCTCCTGTCGTTTGGGATGTGGACGAAGACATCCGCCTTGTGGCTCAGGAGGACCCAGCGCCTGCCAACGCCCCTCCGGGGCGCGTGTATGTACCCACCAGTGTCCGTGACCGCCTGCTGATCTGGACACACACCACCCTTACGGCAGGGCACTCTGGTATTACGCACACCCTGCATTCTCTAGCCCAAAAATACTGGTGGCCCACCTTGGCTTCTGATGTCTCCCGCTACGTCAACTCCTTTTCCGTGTGTGCCCAAACGAAGAGACCTCGGAACGCCCCGGCAGGCAAACTAGTTCCTCTCCCAGTGCCTCAGCGACCTTGGTCACACCTGTCCATAGATTTTGTCACCGACCTTCCACGTTCTGACGGCTTCACCACAGTCATGGTGGTCGTAGATCGGTTCTCCAAATCATTCCGTTTTTTGCCACTAACTGGTCTTCCTTCTGCTCTCCAGGTCGCTGAGGTCCTGTTCCAACAGATCTTCCGTCATTATGGACTTCCGGAGGACATCGTCTCGGATCGTGGCCCCCAATTAACCTCCCGAGTGTGGAAGGCTTTCCTGGAGAAGATCGGGGCCACGGCCAGCCTCACTTCCGGGTATAGGCCTCAGTCGAATGGGCAGGTGGAGCACATGAACCAGGAGCTGGGGAGGTTTCTTCGTTGCCACTGTCAGGACCGGCAGGGTGAGTGGGCGAGGTTTCTTCCCTGGGCAGAATATGCCCAGAACTCCCTCATTCACTCCTCCACGGGGCTCACTCCCTTCCAGTGCGTCCTGGGGTACCAGCCGGCCCTGGCCCCTTGGACACCCAGCCAGACCGATGCGCCCGCTGTCGACAAGAGTGGTTCCAAAGGGCCGGACAGGTCTGGGACGCCGCCCACGTCCATCTCCAGAGGGCCATTCGTCGGCAGAAGGACCAAGCCGACCGCCACTGCAGTGAGGCCCCTGTATTCCAGCCTGTGGATCGTGTCTGGCTGTCCACAAAAAACCTCCCTCTCCGCCTGCCCTGCAAGAAACTGTGCCCCCGGTTTGTAGGGCCGTTTAAGGTCCTCCGGCGGATAAATGAGGCATCATACCGGCTGCTCCTTCCCCCTCACTACCGTTTCTCACCCACTTTTCATGTGTCTCTCCTCAGGCCGGTGGTTCCTGGTCCTCTGGCGGATGCCGTCCCCCGGGATACACCTCCTCCGCCCCTGGACATTGATGGGAGTCCGGCGTATGCAGTGAGGGACTTGCTGGACGGCTCCATTACCTGGTGGACTGGGAGGGGTATGGTCCTGAGAGGAGCTGGGTTCCGGCTGGGGTCGTCCTCCTGGCCGGCGATGTCCAGTGGCTGGAGCCGCGCGTCTGGGGGGGGGGGGGGGGGGTCGGTACATCCAAACATCACACCTGCGGGACAGGTACAGGATGGCAACAACAACTGCCCGAGTTACACCAGGAACGCACAATCCCTCCATCAGTGCTCAGACTGTCCGCAATAGGCTGAGAGAGGCTGGACTGAGGGCTTGTAGGCCTGTTGTAAGGCAGGTCCTCACCAGACATCACCGGCAACAACGTCGCCTATGGACACAAACCCACCGTCGCTGGACCAGACAGGACTGGCAAAAAGTGCTATTCACTGATGTGTCGCGGTTTTGTCTCACCAGGGGTGATGGTCAGATTTGCGTTTATCGTCGAAGGAATGAGTTGCACCGAGGCCTGTACTCTGGAGCGGGATTGATTTGGAGGTGGAGGGTCCGTCATGGTCTGGGGCGGTGTGTCACAGCATCATCGGACTGAGCTTGTTGTCATTGCAGGCAATCTCAACGCTGTGCGTTACAGGGAAGACATCCTCCTCCCTCATGTGGTACCCTTCCTGCAGGCTCATCCTGACATGACCCTCCAGCCTGACAATGCCACCAGCCATACTGCTCGTTCTGTGCGTGATTTCCTGCAAGACAGGAATGTCAGTGTTCTGCCATGGCCAGCGAAGAGTCCGGATCTCAATCCCATTGAGCACATCTGGGACCTGTTGGATCGGAGGGTGAGGGCTAGGGCCATTCCCCCCAGAACTGTCTGGGAACTTGCAGGTGCCTTGGTGGAAGAGTGGGGTAATATCTCACAGGAAGAACTGTCAAATCTGGTGTAGTCCATGAGGAGGAGATGCACTGCAGTACTTAATGCAGCTGTTACCTTTGATTTTGACCCCCCCCCCCCCCCCCTTTGTTCAGGGACACATTATTCCATTTCTGTTAGTCACATGTCTGTGGAACTTGTTCAGTTTATGTCTCAGTTGTTGAATCTTGTTATGTTCATACAAATATTTACACATGTTAAGTTTGCTGAAAATAAACACAGTTGACAGTGAAAGGACATTTCTTTTTTTGCTGAGTTTATGTATCCACACATATATATACATATAAGTACACACTGTATAAATCTATTACTTTTCCGTATGGGTTTGCGAAAATGTGTGCCGGCTATTTGAGACTTTGCATTTCATTTAAGTTTAATGGTAATTTAAATGGAACTTATGTGTAACAGACGTCATGCTGCTTGCTTGGCGATTAGGCTGCTTCCTCCTGATTTGGCTCACACAAGGCTCTAAGCCAGGACCTCTGCCTTGCTAGAACACGTGACCGCCCTCCTTGACAACGTACCAACTGACTGAGCTATAAAAAAGTATCCAATTGGATAGCTCCATTGGCGACATTTCAAGCTAGCTGTGGAGTGAGCTTAAGGTACGTTCTTAAAGGAATACTTTGGGATTTTGACAATGAGGCCCTTTATCTACTTGTGGATTCCATTTTTATGTCTCTCCGTGCAGTTTGAAGGAATTTGCTAACTAGCGCTAGCGCAATTGCTAACTAGTGTTAGCGCAATGACTGGAATTCTTCATTGGCTCAAGAAACTACCTCTAATTTCCTTCATACTGGACAGAGACACAAAAATGGTATCCAATAATTAATCTGACTCTGGGGAAGTAGGTAAAGGGCCTCATTGCCAAAATCCCAGAGTATCCCTTTAACTGTTACATATGCATGTTATGCATGTAGGCCTGTGTTATAACTTGTGCTGTTTTTGACAAGGTGCTAACTCAGACTGGTCTCATTGACTAGACGTAACATAGTAAATGTAAATCCAGGACACTCAAACTAGTATGATATGTTATGTTGCTATGGTTACATAAGATAGAAGGTAACTTAAGGTAAAAACCAAAGGTTGCGTGTTCGATTCCATCACGGACAACTTTAGCATTCTAGCTAATTAGCAACTTTGCAACTATTTACTACTTTTGAGCTACTCTGCAACTACTTAACATGTTAGCTAACCCTTCCCCTAACCCTAACCCTAACCTTAACCATTTTAGCTAACCCTTCCGCTAACCCTAACCTTAACCCTTTAGCCTAACTCCTAAGCTTAACCCCTAACCCCTAGCCTAGCTAAAGTTAGCCACCCCAAGCTAACGTTAGCCACAACAAATTGGAATTCGTAACATATCATACGTTTTTCAAATTCGTAACATATTGTACGTGTCTCAAATTCGTAACATATTGTAGGAATTGCAATTCGTAACATATTGTACAAATTGCAATTCGTAACATATAATACCAATTGTAAGTTGTAACATATCAAATGAAATGGATGATCGACAAATTAATACATACCATTAGAAACGTGACATTTCATACTAAATGAAAATGTATGCACTCACTAACTGTAAGTCGCTCTGGATAAGAGTGTCTGCTAAATGACTAAAATGTAAATGTAAATGGAGTCTCGGATTTACTTAAAGAATAATATGAAATGCTCTGAGACCACGTTGCAGCTAAATGCCATACTGACTCTGTGCTGCACATACCCTCCTGTCTCTGCAGCTCCTCAGTCACAGGTGAGTCTTTTAGGGCCAGGCTCTTCAGAATGCTCTTATTCTCCACCTGCAGTTGTGTGATCTGAGACAGCAGGTCTTGGGCCTCCCCTCTCCACACATCCTCCACCAGCTCCAACTCCTGGGGAAAGCATCAACCGCACCCACACATACACACACAGGTGTAGCATCTTTAACTTTTTCATTCTGCATAATTGCACATAAAACACAAAGGTGTCATTGATTAAAGGTAAAAAGACTGGTTGACAAAGATGGTGGATAAATGAAGATGTCTTACTCAAGCCGTTTACCATTTAAAAAATTGTTACAGTTCTGGTCTACTTAAGGGGTGGCTCTCCTATAGACGCCAATGCGATAGCAGCTGGGTCTGGTCTACTTGTAAATAAACCCGCAAAAATTAGCCAGAGAGTTGTCTCGCTTCCTCTTCTGTCTCTGCTGGAGCGACACACTTATATCACAGAGTTTCTGTTTTGATGGGACAGGAAGTGTAGTTTCATGAAACACTGGCACAAACTCATCAGCCAATCAAATGCATGGGAATAGAAGGGAGGGCGTAGTGATTGAAAGGTAAATAATCCAATCAAAGTGAAGTGAGGGCGTGACGGTTGAAAATGACAAATCAAATGAACGCGATTTGAAAACTCTGCCATACCACTTCCCTTTAAAAGGCACAACAATTAATTTGTGTGTGTTTTCTATTGGCGGTCCTAAAACAAATATATTATTTTAGCTAACAATGAACAACTCCCAGAATTTCTATTTGTAGCACCAAGCCATGGTAGATCATTACGGATCACGTTTATAACGGTACTCTGAGTCTGCAATACTCTACAACCAACGGCCACAACCTTCCTAGCTAGATAACAAACGTTGTAGCTAACATGATCATGTTACATGGATTCTAGTTGTAGGAGTAAGAAATTGAACGTTGCTGTTTTGACTAAAACAAGCTAATGTTAGCTGGCAAGCAAAGTTAGCTAGCTAACGTTATCTAGCTACCTACCAAAGCACATTGGCTAATGTTAGCTACCCAACGTTAGCTGGAAGAACGGCTAGCTTGGTAGCTAGCTATTCTTACATGCCTAGTAAAATACAGAAAAAGAGAGAAGCGGCTATTGAATTCTTTTTTTTTTTTCATTGATCCAATTAGTTCGTGGGACCACCAGGAGCCTCTTCGTGCAAGTAAACGATGCATCACCAAACGAGAGCATGGATTTCCAACAACTCATGGGCAGGCTGAATCAGATGCCGGACTACAACACGGTGGCTGATATGAACGAAAGGCTGATGACACAAGTAGCTCAACAATTCCAACAGCAGCAGCTACAACAGAGTACTTCTCCAGCGCCTGCACTGGAACGAGCGTTCGTCGAGCAAGATGGAATAAGCTATCCATAAGTTGTATGGAAGTTATCTTAACATTCTCAAATATTTTACATGAAATAGAGGTGAGAATATCATGCATCAACTTAATTTGATGTTTTTTCTTTGTCGTGTCTCAGGAAGTCTGCACAATGCCTGTGTACTGGGTCTGCTGGTCAGTCAGCTGAGATTAAGGTGCACAGATGGAGAGTGGAGCATGGCAGATTTTGAAGGCGAGTAGTCTCATAAAGACATGGACTGACTGTATAATTCTACATCTAACAATTTTCTCAAGGATTTTGATGCATATAACCATTGCTAATACACCACACTAACTCCTCAGATGCAGCTGCAAGTTGAGACTGGTTCCACAGCTTTTAGTGAGTGCTTCTTTAGCTTTTTTTGTTGTTGAGATTCCAGGGTTCAAGACTGTTTGTTTATTGGGCAGAATAACTTATTGTCTCCTGTAATTTCACAGGCTCTGGCCAGTCGGTCAAAATAACTCTCTGCTGAAGAGAAGCAGCGATTTGCAGGGGCAACTGAAGAAATGATGTCTGATGTGGAGACAGACCCAGATTTTTTATAACTTCCCCACCATGGCACTCCCCTGAGTTTGAGGACCTGATTGTATCAGCAGACTGGAGAAGGACCAAGCGTGCTTATTGGGAGAAAAGGCTCCGTCAGAATGAAAACCGGAGCAACCGTCCACGTCCACTGCAGCCCTACCCAAAACATCTGATTGTACAATAGACCACAATCACCTGCAAAGTTCCACGGTGTCAACATCACTAAGGAATTAACATGGTCCACACACCCACACAGTTGTGAAGAGGACACGACAGCACCTCTTCCCCCTCAGGAGGCTGAAAAGATTTGGCATGGGCCCTCAGATCCTCAGTTCTACAGCTGCACCATTGAGAGCATCTTGACAGGCTGCATCACCACTTTGTTCGGCAACTGCAGAGCACCCGACCGCAAGGCACTACAGTGGGTGGTTAGTACGGCCCAGTACATCACTGGGGCCGCACTCCCTGCCATCCAGGACCCCTATACCAGGCGGTGTCAGAGGAAGACCCAAAACAAATTCTGACTCCAGCCACCCAAGCCATAGACTGTTCTCTCTACTACTGCACACAAAGTGGTACCAGTGCACCAAGTCTGGAACCAACAGGACCCTGAACAGCTTCTAGCCCCAAGCCTTAAGACTACTAAACAAGACTGCTAAATAGCTAATCAAATGGCTACCCGGACTACCTGCATTGACCCTTTTTTGCACTAACTCTCTTGTTCTGACGCCATGCACAAACACTGGACTCTACCCACACTCACACATACTTACAGACACCCCAACACACAACACGCACACACATGCATACTGACGCCACTCAACCACACACGCTTTCAGTTACCACATATGCTACTGTTAATCAAACCTGTTGCCTAGTCACTTTACCCCTACTACATGTACATACTAGCTACCTCAATTACCTCGTACCCCTGCACATCGATTTGGTACTGGTACTCCCTATATATATATAGCCCATGTTATTTTTACTCGTTATTGTTATTCATTATCACTGTGTATTTATTCATTGTGTCACTATTTCAACAACAAAAATTATCCTGAACTCCGCATTTTTGGTAAAGGACCAGTAAGTAAGCATTTAACTGTTAGTCTACACCTGTCGTTTACGACTTTTCACGAACTCTTCACACCTGCTTCTCAAACGTTTTTGCACAGACTCCCACTCACTCACCCACCGTTACATATACACACAGAACATTACCCCCTTCTTTTTACTTCCCTTTATATAGTTTTTGGTGATAAATGTCTTTGTGTATTTTTATTTATAAATATGTATTGCACTGTTAGTGCTTGCAATGTATTAGGTTTTTACATGACTTATTTTTGGGCAGTGGGTTATATATATATATATATATATGTATGTTTTTACTAATGTCTTATGTTGTAAACTTTATGTATGGAGCCTGACGAGTGGGAGAGCTGTAAAAATGGTGAGGTGCGAGTGTCAGGTTAATTTAATGGCAGGATCTCTAGTCTCCACCGAGTGTTGTTAACAACCTATGGTTCCCCTTATCCAACTGTCGGGTGGAGAAACAAGCTTTTGAGTGTTCAGAGATAAAACACCTACATTCTTCCGACTGGCATGTAAATGGCTAGTCTTCAGAGTTGTAAGGATAATTAAGAGTCTGAAACCAAGGTATTTGGTGCACTGTGGATCCAGCATGTGTACGACATTACTTACGAAACTATTGTCAACATGCTCTTGTGCAATGTGACACCACGTGTCATAGAGCAGAGGAATGTCATGAAAAGCCAATACATGGAGTAGCAGGCTACTCTTCGTGTTGCACACGTCAGCTGAATCTTTCGTAAACACACCTTTTGATGTATCTTCTCTTTCTCCAATCTGTCATTCCGTTCCATTCGCAACCTGTCCAGCTCGCGCCGTAGCTCCTCTATCTCTGGGTTGATACTGTTTCGGGTGACCAGCACCTCCAGAACTTCCAGAACCCGGACCACTTTGGGCATCAGCCGCAGTAAAACTTCGCATCCAAACTGATCGATAATGCGTTCAAACTCCTGGCCCACAACCGCGGCAATGTCATAGACGTCCATAACGGTCAACTCCGTCGCGTTTTTGTCCAGGGGTATTCCGAAGTCTTCCATGGCTGTTTCTCCCCTCCCCGAAATCAACAAGGACAGTTATCTGACAGTTATTATTCTGTAACGTTTGTAGTACAATCTAGGCCTACTTCTTATTGCTATTCTTTCCTATAGCCTACTGCTAAAACCCCTAAACATTTTACTATTATAATGTAGGCCTATTTCTAAAATAATTATCAACTTCCAGATTCCCCAGACAGTGCAATCCAATACCTATCACGAGGTATGAACTGTGTCCGTGTAGCCTACTGCGCATGTCAAGGTATTCTTGGTTCTGCTGCTGAAGTGTACTTGTGACTGGCACTTTCAGGTCATCAAGTTTGGCTTCTTTCTATCCTCTATGAATTAATCATTCTTGCCCAATGTTAACATGAACGTGAATGTAGACTGAACAAAAATATAAACGCAACATGCAACAATTTCTAAGATTTTACAGAGTTACAGTTCATATAAGGAAATCAGTCAATTGAAATAAATGCATTAGGCCCTCATCTATGACTGGGAATACAGATATGCATATGTTGGTCACAGATACCTTTAAAAAAAAAAGTAGGGCATGGATCAGAAAACCAGTCAGTATCTGGTGTAACCACCTTTTGCCTCATGCAGTAAGACACATCTCCTTTGCATAGAGTTGATCAGGCTGTTGATTGTGGCCTGTGGAATGTTGTCCCACTCCTGTTCAATGGCTGTGCGAAGTTGCTGGATATTGGCGGGAACTGGAACAAGCTGTAGTACACGTCGATCCAGAGCAACCCAAACATGCTCAATGGGTGACATGTATGGTGAGTATGCAGGCCATGGAAGAACTGAGACATTTTCAGCTTCCAGGAATTGTGTACAGATCCTTGCGACATGGGGCCGTGTATTATCATGCTGAAACATGAAGGTGTGGCGGTGGATGAATGGCACAACAATGGGCCTCAGGATCTCGTCACGGTATCTCTGTGCATTCAAATTGCCTTCGGTAAAAATGCAACTGTGTTCGTTGTCCATAGATTATGCCTGCCCATACCATAACCCCACCACTACCATGGGGCACTCGGTTCACAACGTTGACATCAGCAAACTGCTCGGCCATACAACGCCATACACGCTGTCTTCCATCTGCCCGGTACAGATGAAACTGGGATTTATCCGTGAAGAGCACACTTCTCCAGCGTGCCAGTGCCCATCGAAGGTGAGCATTTGCCCACTGAAGCCGGTTACGACGCCGAACTGCAGTCAGGTCAAGACCCTGGTGAGGACGACAAGCACGCAGATGAGCTTCCCTGAGACGGTTTCTGACCGTTTGTGCCGAAATTCTTTGAATTGCAAACCCAGTTTCATCAAATGTCCGGGTGGCTGGTCTCAGACAATCCCGCAGTTGAAGAAGCTGGATGTGGAGGTCCTGGGCTGGCGTGTCTACAAATTTGTGCATACAATGAGATAAATAAGCTTTTTGTGCATATGGAACATTTCGGGGATCTTTTATTTCAGCTAATGAAACATGGGACCAACACTTTAAATGTTGCATTTATATTTTGTTTCTTCTGTTTACCATTTTCAAACATCCTCGGAGGATGTGTCAGTTTGTTAGGCTATATAATGCCCCTCTATGTTGGGCAATTTGCCCTCATTTATGCCTCGTCCCAGTAAACTATTCCTGGGTCAATAATAGCAATAGCCAAATATTTACAGTTAACAAAACTGACGTTTTAAAAACCTGCTGACACAACTACCGTTTTACCGTCCAAAATACAGAGGAACAAACAGATATGTCCATAAACATTTATTGCTCATTTGACGTACACTTATTACATGGAGGAACCACAGTAATCTTTACTAAAATATATTAATAGATTTGAATGTATAAACATGTTTAATACAGGTGAAAGAACATAAAAGTAATCATTAAGAAAAGCTCCCAGAAGCAAAAGAGATCCACATACTGTACAGCCCCCTTGTGCTGTCACATACACACATTAGATCCCCGTCCATTTTTAGCTTTGGAAAGTAGCCTTCCTCTTTAAAAATTCAAGGTGATCATTATTTGTCAAGCACATACAGTTGAAGTCAGAAGTTTACGTACACCTTAGCCAAATACATTTAAACTCAGTTTTTCACAATTCCTGACATTTAATCCTAGTAAAAATTCCCTGTCTTAGGTCAGTTAGGATCACCACTTTATTTTAAGAAAGTTAAATGTCAGAATAATAGTAGAGAATGATTTAGTTCAGATTTTATTTATTTCATCACATTCCCAGTGGGTCAGAAGTTTACATACACTCAATTTGTATTTGGTAGCATTGCCTTTAAATTGTTTAACTTGGGTCAAACGTTTCAGGTAGCCTTCCACAAGCTTCCCACAATAAGTTGGGTGAATTTTGGCCCATTCCTCCTGACAGAGCTGGTGTAACCGAGTCAGGTTTGTAGGCCTCCTTGCTCGCACACGCTTTTTCAGTTCTGCCCACAAATGTCCTATAGGATTGAGGTCAGGGCTTTGTGATGGCCACTCCAATACCTTGACTTTGTTGTCCTTAAGCCATTTTGCCACAACTTTGGAAGTATGCTTGGGGTCATTGTCCATTTGGAAGACCCATTTGCGACCAAGCTATAACTTCCTGACTGATGTCTTGAGATGTTGCTTCAATATAGCCACATAATTGTCTTTCCTCATGATGCCATCTATTTTGTGAAGTGCACCAGTCCCTCCTGCAGCAAAGCACCCCCACAGCATGATGCTGCCACCCCCGTGCTTCACGGTTGGGATGGTGTTCTTCGGCTTGCAAGCATTCCCATTTTTCCTCCAAACATAACGATGGTCATTATGGCCCAACAGTTCTATTTTTGTTTCATCAGACCAGAGGACATTTCTCCAAAAAGTGCGATCTTTGTCCCCATGTGCAGTTGCAAACCGTAGTCTGGCTTTTTTATGGCAGTTTTGGAGCAGTGGCTTCTTCCTTGCTGAGCGGCCTTTCAGGTTATGTCGATATAGGACTAGTTTTACTGTGGATTTAGATACTTTTGTACCCGTTTCCTCCAGCATCTTCACAAGGTCCTTTGCTGTTGTTCTGGGATTGATTTGCACTTTTCGCACTAAAGTACATTCATCTCTAGGAGACAGAACGCGTCTCCTTCCTGAGCGGTATGATGGCTAAGTGGTACCATGGTGTTTATACTTGCGTACTATTGTTTGTACAGATGAACGTGGTACCTTCAGGTGTTTGGAAATTGCTCCCAAGGATGAACCAGATTGTGGAGGTCTACAATTTTTCTCTGAGGTCTTGGCTGATTTCTTTTGATTTTCCCATGATGTCAAGCAAAGAGGCACTGAGTTTGAAGGTAGGCCTTGAAATACATCCACAGGTACACCTAAAGCCATGACATCATTTTCTGGAATTTTCCAAGCTGTTTAAAAGGCACAGTCAACTTAGTTGAAGTGAAATAATCTGTCTGTAAACAATTGTTGGAAAAATTACTTGTGTCATGCACAAAGTAGATGTCCTAACCGACTTGCCAAAACTATAGTTTGTTAACAAGAAATTTGTGGAGTGGTTGAAAAACGAGTTTGAATGACTCCAACCTAAGTGTATGTAAACTTCAGACTTCAACTGTAGATTCCATTTGTATACCAACATCTTCACCAACGACCTTTGACTGCATAGCCAGTTTTATATACCCATTGTGAGAGACATTCAGTGGCTAGGGGGCACCTAGAAGAGATACAAAGATTAATTTGTGATGTGCAGATTGCTAATCCCTATTGAGTGAATTTCCTATTGTATATAAAAATGCATAATTATACTTCCATGTGTATAGCTAAACTAGTACATGCTTTAATGATGGGAGCTGTTCCTGGACCAGGTGTTAATTGGTCGAATCAAGCGAGGTAACCTAAACAGGGTTGGGTGATCTTTCTCTGAACATTCTCACCCCCTGGTCTTACTGATGATCATGTGGTGATATGGAAATAGTTCCACAGTCCCACTTAGAAATAGGTCAAGTTATAGGAGTAATGACAACCTGGAACTAATACAGAGACATCGAACAGGGACTTAATGTTTGGAAATGTGTGCTTTTCCGCATGATCTGTGTGCCAATGTCTCCTTCCATTCCTACACACCAACCAACATAGAAAATTACAACATGAGGCTGTCCCAGATATGGCCTAGTTCAATATGTTGTGATCCTGTCCATACTAATAAAATGATGTTCACATAGTTTCTTTTTAATAAACAGTAGGCTATAAGTAAAAAGTTCAGACACAAAATGGCATTGTTGCAATAAAAAAAGATTTGCATGATTTCCTCAAATAATTTTCCCTTTCTGTTTTTGATACCATTATGTCCACGAAAACATAGAATACCACCTTGGTGGCACATGATGTTTGATCTATAAAAGGATAGAGTGTGTCTCTTTCAGAGGCAGAAAGCACTGAGGGATAAAATCAGGCTGAAGAAGAGGAGCACAAGTTCCAGTTTGGCAAAAGAAAATAAAGAGGGACAGAGGTAAGGTTGGGGTTGGGAAAGAGGATCGTCTGGTAAGGTTGGGGTTGGGAAAGAGGATCGTCTGGTAAGGTTGGGGTTGGGAAAGAGGATCGTCTGGTAAGGTTGGGGTTGGGAAAGAGGATCGTCTGGTAAGGTTGGGGGTTGGGAAAGAGGATCGTCTGGTAAGGTTGGGGTTGGGAAAGAGGATCGTCTGGTAAGGTTGGGGTTGGGAAAGAGGATCGTCTGGTAAGGTTGGGGTTGGGAAAGAGGATCGTCTGGTAAGGTTGGGGTTGGGAAAGAGGATCGTCTGGTAAGGTTGGGGTTGGGAAAGAGGATCGTCTGGTAAGGTTGGGGTTGGGAAAGAGGATCGTCTGGTAAGGTTGGGGTTGGGAAAGAGGATCGTCTGGTAAGGTTGGGGTTGGGAAAGAGGATCGTCTGGTAAGGTTGGGGTTGGGAAAGAGGATCGTCTGGTAAGGTTGGGGTTGGGAAAGAGGATCGTCTGGTGGAGGCAGCTCAAAAGGATCCTGTGTTCACTTCATACGATGACTGTTCGTCTCAGATCAACCGGACTATCCAGCATGGAGATGTCCTTCTCTAGCCTGCATCAGTCTATCTGAACTGCAATGATAAGAAAGACAATACACATATTTGAAACAGCATAAGAGTATTTGGTGAAGCATAAGAGTTAACTGAGCTTTTTTCAAATGTGTCATTATGTGGCAGTTTCTTTGGTACTACCCTAAACATGAACGCAAATCCAGCCATTTTGGCCCTTACCATATTTTTAGGCGGTAAGTTGGGTTTCTGAGCCAAGGCAGGTTTCCTCATGATGCTAGGCTTGGAGGGTTTGGGTGAGGAGGGCTCAGAGGCAGATGAGGGGGCCAGGCCGTTGCCCTCTGAGAGGTCTGCTGCTGGAACACCGGCTATATCATAGTGCTTCTTCCTGAGCTCTCCCAGACGGAGACGCTCATTACCCAGCTGATTCTCCAGCTCCAACACCTTCACCTGAGACACACATACAGTAGAGAAAGGTTACTTTCACACAGAACAAACACGTGCATGCAGACAGGCTAAAAAAAGACACACAGGCCTGGTGACTCACCTGCGACTCCATTTCCTCCATTTTTAACTTGATGAGGGACATTCCAGAGAAGTCCATGGTATCTGCAGAAGAAAGAGAAACACATCAAACACAGACATATGACTCATAAGGCCTGAGGGGATTCACATCTTCTGTTTGTGAAGACACACACAACCCCAACCACACTAACCCTTGTCCTCCAGGTGCTCCTGGCCTGTCTTGGTGGAGGCCACCACGTTGGCTGCCATCTCGTTCACACGGCGAGAAGCCTGCTGGAGAGCTGTCAGTTTCGTACTGTTGCGGTCTGCCTTTACCTAAACACAGAAGGGGAGAGGAAGAATGAAGAAAACAGTGATAGGGACACAATTTGAATATATGAGGAAAATAGAATAAACAGAGATTGGCAAGGGGAAAGGGAGCACTGAGAGGTCAAACGCTTGTGTGAGTGTTTCTCACCTTGGAGGAAGCGACCAGCTGTGCTGTACTAGCAGCGATCTCATGTGAGCAGACGATGAGCTCCTCATATTTGCCAGTGTGCAGCACCACCTTATCAGCGGACTCACTGTGGGACAGACCAGACAAACACCACACCATCATCCCATCCTATAACATGAGGCATCTGTGTGTCACAAACACACACACTAATAACCACACTCAGATAAGTTGAGACAACCCCCTATAATGCTCTTACACCATCTGTGTGGCTCCCCATCCCACAGCTTTGGAGGCAGAGATGAGTCCCTCAGTCCAACGGGAGTTCCTGGCGTAGAATTCCTTAATAGTGGCTGCACCCTAGAGAGAGAAGATAAAGTCCAGCAGTGGTCAGGACATTCCTCTTTCAAATAAAATTGTATTTGTCACATGGTGGAATACAACAGGTAAAAATACTTACAAACCCTTAACCAACAATGCAGTTTTAATGAAAAATAAGTGTTCAGAAGATATTGACTAAATAAACAAAAAAATAACGAGGCTATATACAGGGGGTACAGGTTAGTCAAGGTAATATATACAGTACCAGTCAAATGTTTGGACACAGTCATTCAAGGGGTTCTTTATTTTTACTATTTTCTACATTGTAGAATAATAGTGAAGACATCAAAACTATGAAATCATGTAGTTACCAAAAAAGTGTTAAACAAATCAAAATAGATGTTATATTTGAGATTATTCAAAGTAGCCACCCTTTGCCTTGACAGCTTTGCACACTCTTGGCATTCTCTCAACCAGCTTCATGAGGTAGTCAACTGGAATGCATTTCAATTAACAGGTGTGCCTTGTTAAAAGTTAAAGAAGGAAAGAAATTCCACAAATTATGTGTTTGAGCCAATCAGTTGTGTTGTGACAAGGTAGGGTTGGTATACAAAATATAGCCCTATTTGGTAAAAGACCAAGTCCATATTATGGCAAGAACTGCTCAAATAAGCAAAAAGAAACGACAGTCCATCATTACTTTAAGACATGAAGGTCAGTCAATACGGAAAATGTCAAGAACTTTTAAAATTTCTTCAAGTGCAGTTGCAAAAACCATCAAGTGCTATGATGAAACTGGCTCTCATGAGGACCGCCAAAGGAAAGGAAGACCCAGAGTTACCTCTGCTGCAGAGGATAAGTTCATTAGAGTTACCAGCCTCAGAAATCGGCAATTAACTGCACCTTAGATTGCAGCCCAAATAATGCTTCACAGAGTTCAAGTAACAGACACATCTCAACATCTACTGTTCAGAGGAGACTGTGTGAATCAGGCATTCATGGTCGAATTGCTGCAAAGAAACCACTACTAAAGGACACCAATAATAAGAAGAGACTTGCTTGGGCAAAGAAACACGAGCAATGGACATTAGACCAGTGGAAATCTGTCCTTAGGTCTGGAGGAGTCCAAATTGGAGATTTTTGATTCCAACCGCCGAGTCTTTGTGAGACGCAGAGTAGGTGAATGGATGATCTCTGCATGTGTGGTTCCCACCGTGAAGCATGGAGGAGGTGTGATGGTGCTTTGCTGCTGACACTGTCAGTGATTTATTTTGAATTCAAGGCACACTTAACCAGCATGGCTACCACAGTATTCTGCAGCGATACGCCATCCCATCCGGTTTGCGCTTAGTGGAACTATCATTTGTTTTTCAACAGGAAAATGACCCAAAACACATACCTCCAGTCTGCGCAAGGGCTATTTGACCAAGAAGGAGAGTGATGGAGTGCTGCATCAGATGACCTGGCCTCCACAATCACCCGACCTCAACCCAATTGAGATGGTTTGATATGAGTTGGACCGCAGAGTGAAGGAAAAGCAGCCAACAAGTGCTCAGCATATGTGGGAACTCCTTCAAGACTGTTGGAAAAGCATTCCAGGTGACTACCTCATGAAGCTGGTTGAGCGAATACCAAGAGCGTGCAAAGCTGTCATCAAGGCAAAGGGTGGCTACTTTGAAGAACCTAAAATATATTTTGATTTGTTTAACACTTTTTTGGTTACTACATGACTCCATATGTGTTATTTCATAGTTTTGATGTCTTCACTATTATTCTACAATGTAGAAAATAGTAAAAATAAAGAAAAACCCTTGAATGAAACTTTTGACTGGCACTGTACATCTAGATAGAGTAAAGTGACTATGCATAGATAATAAACAGCGAGTAGCAGCAGCGTAAAAAAAGGGGGGTTCAATGCAAATAGTCCGGGTAGCCATTTGATTAACTGTTCAGCAGACTTATGGCTTGGAGGTAGAAGCTGTTAAGGAGCCTTTTGGACCTAGACTTGGCGCTGCGGTACCGCTTGCCGTGCAGTAGCAGAGAGAACAGTCTATGAATAGGGTGGCTGGAGTCTTTGACAATTTTTAGGGCCTTCCTCTGACACCGCTTGGTATAGAGGTCCTGGATGACAGGAAGCTTGGCCCCAGTGATGTACTGGGCCGTACGCACTACCCTCTGTAGCGCATTGCGGTCGGATGCCGAGCAGTTGCCATACCAGGCGGTGATGCAACCAGTCAGGATGCTCTTGATGGTGCAGCTGGAGAACTTTGAGGATCTGAGGATCCATGCCAAATCTTTTCAGTCTCCTGAGGGGGAATAGGCGTTGTCGTGCCCTCTTCATGATTGTCTTGGTGTGTTTGGACCATGATATAGTTTGTTGGTGATGTGGACACCAAGGAACTTGAAGCTCTCGACCTGCTTCACTACAGCCCTGTCAACGTGAATGGGGGCATGCTCTGCCCTCCTTTTCCTGTAGTCCACGATCATATCCTTTGTCTTGATCAAGTTGAGGGAGAGGTTGTTGTCCTGGCACCACACTGCCAGGTCTCTGACCTCCTCCCTATAGGCTGTCTCATCGTTGTCGGTGATCAGGCCTACCACCGCTTTTCGTCGGCAAACTAATGATAGGATGGATTTACAAAGTTTTCAACATTAAATTCTAAATGTCATGACTCACCCTCCCTCCCTCAACAATCTCCTTCTGTAAGTCGGTTGATGTCAGGACCAGTAGGTGGATGGCCTGAAGGACAGAGTGGGATAGAGGAAAGGAGGGTAGAGGAGGGAACGCAGCATTATTAGGATTTTGATCAGACGTTTCGAGTAAGTCAATCAAAACAAGTCGAAAGGCAGCCATCTTACCTTCATCAGGTCTGTGCAGCTGTAGAGGATTCTATGAAACAAGGAGTAATATCATGGTGAGTTAAAGGGGAAAAATGCATAAACAAGTATTTCAACTAAAATACAGAGCGTAAGTCAAACATACTACTGACCTTTCATTGACCTCAAGTTTGACACCAGAGGTGTCCTTTCGTGCCTGATTCATCATTTCCTTTAGATACAGAAAGACAGCAATTGAAAAATGTGGATAAAACCTGGGTACGAATAAAGATTTATTGTGTAGATAGTGTGTGATATATCTAGTGTTAGCTCGATATGTTATTCCCCTCTACAGTGGGATGTTCTACATGGTTGTGATCCTCACATCGATTCTGCGCACTGCCTCCTCAATGGCTGCTGATGTGGCTGCCATCTCCTTGTCCACCAGATCTCCCAGCTCATCCTGTCGCACATCCATGCCTTTAGGTCGCAGCTCCTAAGCATTGGAAGAGGAGATGAGATTAAGAAGAAATAGTAAAAGAACAGGGGGAGAAATTGAGAAGACTGCTCAGTAGCCCGTTACCTCCCCCAGCCTCAGGATCTTTTGGACCACAATGCGAATGGAGGCCGGATCTGCCCTCTGGAGAGAGGCCTTGGACTTGAGATCCTTCAGGAACTGCAGACTTTGAGTGGCACAGCCCCTGCAATTCTCCGTCAGACCTGCAGGGTGCCAAAGTACAAGCTACACACTGACACTGTAATCACATACCAAATGGATTCAATATCATATTTCAGTAAAATGCCAATAAGATACAACAAGATATCTGTTTCAAACAGGAATCCATTCTATTTAAGGAGAACGTCCTTACGGTCGGCGTGGTCAGTGGGAGCCATGTGTGCTGTGGCACTGCCGTTGATGATGGTGTCAGCAGCCAGGTGGGAGAACTGGGTCAGAGCCCTCAGCAGCCCACCAGCATCTGGTAAACAGAGGAAAGGATGCATCACTGCCAGTAACACAGCCCAGCTGTCACCAACGAGCACTCATGACCACTATCACTGTGGTTGCTTAAAGACTACTAACTATATGAAAAACACTGAGCACCAAGTTATGAGCAACTCACCTCTCATGTTCGTCCGGTAGTCTGAGTGACCCTTTGTCACTTTGTCAATGGAGCCCAAAGTGGCCTCTGCCCGACTGACCAGGTAATCTGTGGTGGTGGGGAGACAAAGAAAAAAAGTTTGAAAAGCATTATTTTTATAGATATATACACATGCATCGATGAGTCATCTCTCACTTTATATTCTAAGTGACAACACCATCTCTCTGTGTGTATTCACTCATTTTAACCTGGGGAGCTGGTGCAGCGGATGTGCAGGGGGTCGTCCAGCTTGGCCACAGCATCCTGGATGATGCTCTCAGCCTCAGAGACCGTTCCCTGCAGCAGGGAGAACTGCTCATCCAGCAGCTTCTGCTGCAACTGCTCCTCACGGCTAGACTACACAGATGCAACGAGACACAGTCAGACATACGGTCAGAGGGAAAAATAGACAGGCACAGACATAGATGGTTTTCTTATATTGTACACAGACATACTAATGGTTCTTATATTGTGCACAGACATACTAATGGTTCTTATATTGTGCACAGATAGCCGAATAGTTCATTGATTAAAGAAAATCTGTCACTTTGCAATGCACAGTCTGAGTAATAGGGGATTTGACCAAGCAGTATAGCTTTTACTAGTCTATTTTCTCTTTTGCAATCAGCAAATGACATAGACAAGACAAAGCAGCTGACTGAACTCTGCTCTGTGCGGTGCTGTCCTGACTGACCTTCTCCTGCAGCCTGCCCTGCAGTTCTCCCAGCTCCCTGGTGCTCCTCTCTCTCTCCTGCTGCAGGGACGACTGCTGCAGCTGTGCAGCATGGCGCAGGGACGACAGCGCTGCCTCCTTCTCACTCACAGAGTGCATCAGACGCTCCTTCTCCGCCTGCAGCGCAGACATGGATCTGGTCAGCTGCTCCCCCACCTGAGAGAGAGGGAGGAGGGAGAGGGGGAGCGGGGAGAGAAGAGACATGAAGAGAGGGAGAAGGCATAATTATGGTACATTAACTTTTGTGAGACATCCATATGTTCACATTCACACACAGTGCAGGTTCCTTCCCAACCAATTTGCAAGTCTGGAAAGTGGGGCGATTTCTTTGCATCGAGTTTTGCATGAGGGTGAATCAGATGAGTCACCTGTGTCATTACATTGGCGAGCGAACCCACATTACTCAGTATTTACTGCATCATCACCACACACACCTTCTCGTTGCTCTGCAGAGTGCCTTTGACACGTTCCACTTCTGCCTTCTTCTCCTCAAACTCCCTTTTAAGCTTCTCCATCTCAAACTTCTGCTCCTCAAGCTGCAATGAGAAAAAAAGACAATAACATTCAGTCATTTTGACAAATGGTTAATACAGTACTGAAATATAACATTAACGGTACTGGATCACTATTGCCAATACTCAATAACAGTAACCTTCATGTCAGCGTCCTGTTTGATGCGATCCACCTCAAAAGCCAGCTGCTGCTTGGTCCTCTCCACCTCCTCCTGGGTCTGCTGGGTGGCCGACAGCATCTTCACTGTGTCTGCACTCTGCCAGCACAATGTCACATATACTTTGTTAAACATTCTCTTCACACTATACAAAAAAAGTATTATCAGATGAGTCAGTCTATATGAGCATACATGCAGAGACCCAATCAACCAAACACATGGAGAAAACCACAGAATGAAAACAGGTGTGTGAGGTTCTTCATAAGTCTGTACCTTCCTGAGCAATTCCGCATGGCTGGACACTAGCTCAGTGTGCTTCTCCTTCAGCTTGTTATAGCGCTGCTCTGTGGCCTGGGCTCTCGCTGGGTCAGAGACAAGAGGGAGACGTTAGTGTGTGTGTTCAATACAATGTGACTGAACGTGTATGCCAGACTTAGTGAGTGGCTTCTCTTACTCTCGGCCTCTCCGAAGGTGGCCTGCACGCTCTCGTGCTCAGCGTTGCGGCGGCGCGTGGCCTCCAGCTCCATGCGCAGCTGCTCGTTCTCCACAAGGGCACGCTGTTTCTGCACCCGCTGCTCCTCCAGCTCCGCCTCCAGACTGTTGATCTGGGACTTGAGCTGGGTGATGTAGCGCTGGGCCTGCAGGAGGGGGGAGGAGGTAGGCAGTCAGTCAGTCACCATAGTAAACCTCCCCTGGGTAGATTATCACTACCACCACAGGACACCATGACATGGCACTAGTGGATGAGGGCCTCAGACAGGGGAAACAAAAGTGATGAGTGGTACAAATTATGTTTACAAAATGTATATGTTGGGTTAGGATGGCTTGATTCAATATCACAGGCGTAAACTTAAACTTTTAGCATCAGTTAAGAAACAGGCCACATTAGGAGCCAGCCATTTGCAGAAACTGGGGTCAACAGTACATTTCACACTGTGTCCCAGACACACCTTCTTGTCTTCTCTGACCACAGACAGACGTCATTTCCCATTCTGAGACTAGCTGCCACATTCCACATGTCACGATTAATCTTTGCATCCACCCAACACATTACCTAAATTCCTCCCCCCTTTACACATCAACAATGACCACCACTGTCAAAACTTAGTTATCAGTGTTTTCCCTAAGTACATGGAGTAGCCAGCCAAATAGAAAAAGTAGCCAGCAAGGAGTCCCCGGGCTTTTCATAATTTATCTGCAGATAATCACCAAAAACTCTACCAGTATGCAAATTAGGGAGATTGACTTTATTCAGTCAGTTCGACACCTTTTATAAACTAAACACTTGCTGTTTGGTCGTCAATCAAAGCACAGTCAATAGCCTATGCGCCATGACTTCGTGGCTGGGTACAGGAAACACACAAAATAAAATAAATAAATGAACAATAATTAGGCGAAGTGGATTTCGACTCATTGTTCGACACCCCCTTTTTTCCTCCAAACATAACGATGGTCATTATGGCCAAACAGTTCTATTTTTGTTTCATCAGACCAGAGGACATTTCTCCAAAAAGTACAATATTTGTCCCCATGTGCAGTTGCAAACCGTAGTCTGTCTTTTTTAAGGCGGTTTTGGAGTAGTAGCTTCTTCCTTGCTGAGCGGCCTTTCAGGTTATGTCGATATAGGACTCGTTTTACTGTGGATATAGATACTTTTGTACATGTTTCCTCCAGCATCTTCACAAGGTCCTTTGCTGTTGTTCTGGGATTGATTTGCACATTTCGCACCAAAGTACGTTAATCTCTAGGAGACAGAACACATCTCCTTCCTGAGCGGTATGACGGCTGCGTGGTCCCATGGTGTTTATACTTGCGTACTAATGTTTGTACAGATGAACGTGGTACCTTCAGGCGTTTGGAAATTGCTCCCAAGGATGAACCAGACTTGTGGAGGTCTACAATTTTTTTTCGGAGGTCTTGGCTGATTTCTTTTGATTATCCCATGATGTCAAGCAAAGAGGCACTGAGTTTGAAGGTAGGCCTTGAAATACATCCACAGGTACACCTCCAATTGACTCAAATGATGTCAATTAGCCTATCAGAAGCTTCTAAAGCCATGACATCATTTTCTGGAATTTTCCAAGCTGTTTAAAGGCACAGTCAACTTACTGTGTGTAAACTTCTGACCCACTGGAATTGTGATACAGGGAATTATAAGTGAAATAATCTGTCTGTAAACAATTGTTGGAAAAATTACTTGTGTCATGCGCAAAGTAGATGTCCTAACCGACTTGCCAAAACTATAGTTTGCTAACAAGAAATGTGTGGAGTGGTTGAAAAATGAGTTTTAATGACTCCAACCTAAGTGTATGTAAACTTCCGACTTCAACTGTAGGTACTGGAAGGCGTGACAGACAGCAGACTGTCAAACCAGCAGTGTTTCCTGGTCATTACTCGCTTTGTGACTGACAGGTGCCTGTCCTATCCATAGATCGCTAGAAGATGTATAGCGTTCATTTTAGCGGGAGAGGGCTCAACAGACTTTTCTGACTAACGAATAGAAACTTTTAAATGAAAAGTAGCAGTTATTTTTTGAAGTGGGAAAAGTAGCCTGGTATTTAGTCGACAGCCAGCGCTTAGGGAAAACACTATACATTGTTAACATGCATAATTAACCCTTAAATAGTATTATTACAGAGGTACAAGTCATTTATTATTAGCTAGTTATGACAAGCATATCATCAATAACTTGTGTACGACAACAACTGTAAAATCTGTTTAAAGGAGTTAAAACTTATGTCTACTTACCTCTCCTTTGACCCTTTCCAGATCTGCCCTCAATAGCTCGAAGTCCCGCTTGAGGTTCTCAATCTGGATATCCCTGTGGACCAGAAGACATACAGCCACTAACCTTTAAGATACATACACACTGGCACACTACTAACTCAATTCACAAGAAAATACCCAGACATATGTCAGTTAAAAAACATCACCAGTTTACATATCCTTCCGTTTGAAACACACCAATGCTGAAAGACCAATGACTAACCTGTCATCAAAACCACCATTGGCAGGTCCGAAGGTTTGATCAAATATGTCGAACTGCTAAAGGAAGTCAGAAGACGCATTAATGCTTATACAATCTACAGCCAAAATTAGTGCTACCTTTTTTTTTTAGAAGACATACACATCCAATGGGCCATAGCTGTGCCCTCAGAGGTCATGACCCTGTGCCCTATAAATCGTACCTGTGGCACCGTCATGCTGGGCATGGTGACGTCACTGACATTGATCAGCGGCTCAGGGTCGTCATCGTCATCATCCACCTGCTCGGGCTCATCCTCGTCTGGGATGACCACCACCGGCCTCGCATGCTTGGCCAGGGACGCCGCATGCAGGAAGTTAGGAGGGGACTGGGGATGAACAAAACACACACAAATAAATAAGACAGGACTATAAACACAGATGGATCCACTAGGAAGTGTGATAGAGTCCCAATACAGTATCTTTCCCCTATGCTCTTACTTCTGGCAGCTTGGGGATCTGGATGAGTCTCTTGAAGTACATCATGTCTCTGGCTTTGTTGAAGAAGGTCTTGAGGCTGTAAGGCAAACATTTCAACTACTGATCCGAATGATGCCACTAATCTACAACAAGAACATAACATTTCCTAAACTGTGTTGTTTCATATATTGCATCCCTAGTATAGAGGGGGATGTGTATAGGACAGAATGCAATAGAACAAAGTTTAACTTACTTACCTAGAAAATGCAGCTAGATAGTTTAGCCTACTCAAACAGAGGGGTGCTATGTTAGCTAGCTGGCTATGACTATCCAACTCAACACTGTAACTCTTCCAAGTCAAGGTAAGCTTTTGGTTGTACTAATTTATTGCCACCGGGGCCCGCCGGTGTTAGTGCTAAACTGCTTACTGACTGTACACTAACATTACTGCATGATTGTAGCGGGTTTACTAACGCATTGGTTCTATTAGCTATGTTGACTATGACGTTAGCTAATATGGTGACAACGATGTAGGCTGTGTAGTGGTTATGATATGGTCCGGCATGGAACGTTTTTCGCCTGGTCACATACAGCCTATGTGTTGTGCATTGAAGTCCACAAGCGAAGGAAAACGGTGAGAGGAGGAGAGCGCATAGATGCAAGATAGAATACAACATGGCTGCTATGAAAGTTAACTGAGTTTACGTGTGATCAGGGGTGTATTCATTCCGCCGGTTCTGTTGAAAAACATTTCTTAAACGGAAGCAAACGGAACAGAGATAAACATACCTGAATTTGTCCAGTAGAAACTCTCGTTTGCAACTGTTGGACTAATGATTACACCCTAGATCAGATAGACGCAGGCAACTGTCTGTCAACTCAAATTTCTCTGGACGTGTGAACCTACGTTGTAAACCTTTTTTCATAGACTAGGTTATAGCAACCTCATGATGGGTATAGGGAGTATCATGTAGTAGCCTTAACCTATCGCTGTTACATTGAACTGGGTGAATGGAATATGAATGACAGAAATCCAATATGCTGTAATAGAAATAAGGCCATGCTCATGAAAAAAAAGAATCGTCCTCCTCATCTTAAACAGCACCGACCGCCACTGATGCCAAGGTATCCACTAACACATCAAGCTCCCTCTCTGCTATCTTTCTGGGCTGATCGTTGTGCAGGTCGGTAATATTATCACATCACCTGGTACACTACCTGAACTGCTCAGATTCAACCCCTTCTCACTTTCACAGATTGTGTCTGACCGTGACGACATGATGATGACACATTACAATGGGTGGAAGCTGGGTGGTAGGGACGAGAATATTTGCAGTGGCTCAGGGTAACAGGCCAGGGAGAGGGAGGATTGTGCTGCATACTGAGGCTCCCTTCCTCCCTCGCTTTCCTACCGTCCTCATTTACTAGCAGCCCGAGCTCCTGGGTGACTTACCTGTGGAACTGGTCATGGAAACGATCACGGTGTCCTTGCAGGGTGTCTGCTGGGAGACCTGAAATCCAGGACATGCAATAGACAAAGTCACAAAAAATACTTTGAAACAAGTTCATTCTAATCAAGTCAGCAAAGCATAGTTTAGAGCAAGTAGTAATACGGAACTACTATTAAGTATACTTTGCATAATATCACAATAATCATACGGATTTGTGATCTCCAGTTATTTTCCTCTTATTGATGTTACAGTACATGTTGAAACATATGTCACGCAGATGAGATTAAGATGCCAACGTACATGCGTGCAGCTTGAAGAGCAGCTTGACGGTGAAGTGGTAGAGGTGACTGCAGTCCTGAATGACCTGGATGAGGGGGGACAGTCGACACTGGCCTGACGTCAGCGTAGAGATGGCAATGGACGTGTTGAGCTGCCGGATCACTGCAGATCACAGAACACACGCCAAAGTATAACACATAACAAACAAACATAATACCACAATAAACAAACACGACCTCAAATGGGCAGGATTTGGTATCGCTGGCTTGCTTGGGTGAAACACCTTTCACTGTCACTAGTTCAGAAATACAGCACTTGGGACAATGGCTCACACATTCATGAATCGCCCGTGGAAAACAGTTATCAGCAGATCTAGCACTAGGGTGGGTAGATGTGTGAAAGCACAAGGCGGTTAGGAGCTCCCATGTTCCCTGAGTACAAGATGCCCAGTTAGTCACGGAGGCAGGCAGGGTTGTTTACAGTTGTAGGGTTTGTTTATATTTGCTCAGGATGACAGGCTGTGACAACATCCTGCAGGGCAGGGAGGCGCATGATGCAATTACAGCCAATCAGAAGAAACACGATTAATGTCCTCTAATTGCAAACATTTATAACCCATTTATAGGGTTTTGGTGAAATGACATGAGGGCCCTAATCATACTAAACAAACCAAAGTGGTTTAGAAATGGGTTTAAATGGGTTTCCCTTAACTTTTGGGGAGATTAAGTCACTCCCTCAACAGCAGAAGTCTATTTAACTGGCCACTATCCTGTCCCTATTCCATTTCAGGCACACAAACAGTTGATGGAACCAGACCACATCCCTGTACCTCAGGTTACCCATCCTTTGAGAGGTGTAGGTAGGTAGGGGAGAAGCGGAGGATTCTCACCTGTCTCGGCTAGCCTCAGCTCTGTATCCAGGTAATCAAACACTTCCACAGTGAGCTGGAACCTGCAGGAGTGAAGTCGATACACCCCTTAGTAACACAAGGCTAATGGCTTCCTTAAGAAAAGAGCAGCAGGTTGTCTCCTTAGTCCCCACAGTTCTCCATCTCTACTAAAATGGCAAGAAAATTGTATGATGGCTTCCTTTGAATCAGAGAGCATGTTATGTTTATATTTTATATAAATAATTGACTTCACTTGAGCTATGCCAATTAAAATGTATACGCATGTGTTTGATGTTCCTGTATGATATTCTGATAACTCCTTAACAGGAGAGGGAGTGCACAGTCAGAGTGCCAGGGATGTGTGGAGACTGGAGAGGAGAAGAGAACACACTCACACATTATTGATGTCTGTTCCTGCAACGCGCTCCAGAACCTCATCTGTTACCTCTAGGTTGGCTCGGATTTCAGAATGCTGCACAGAAGATGAAAGGATTGCAAAAATTATCCAACAATTCTTGTACACAATTTTTCAAGGATGGTACAACATTAGAAATATCTAATGATCTCATATGTAATCACTTCAAATGGCATACATTGTTTAATTAGGTGGCATTTTGTGAAAGCACTTGTGGCAATGCATACAGTGGAAAGATTAGCCAATGTCTCATGGTAAAACATTCAGTCCCCCCAACACTGTAGAGCAGGGGTGTCAAACTCATTTTGGCAGTGGGCCGTATTCGGTCTTCCACGAGGTCCGAAGGGCCGCACTTAAAATGTATTATATTTCCTCGCTGTCAAAATGTGCAGAAAACACTACTCTATCCATCGCTTTTGGAATTATCGATGCTCCCTGACTGTCTAGCTTTCATTTTGATTACTTTTAGCAAGTTGGACAGAGTGAAGAGACTATAAAGGTCTATTATCATTTCTACACCGTTTTGATTTGGTTTTAGTAATTTCAATGTGAATTGAGATTGTTGTTTCCCGGAATGTATATTTATTTATTTTTATATGCAAACCACCCGGGGGCTGGATTGAATGGGCTCGGATCCGGCCCGCGAGCCTAGTGTTTGACACGTGCTATAGAGCAGGGGTATTCAACTCTTACTCTACAAGGTCCGGAGCCTGCTGGTTTTCTGTTCTACCTGATAATTAATTGCACCAACCTGGTGTCCCAGTTCTAAATCAGTCGCTGATTAGAGGGAACAATTAAAAAAAACTGTGGAACTGGCTTTGAGGTCCAGAGTTGAGTTTGAGGGCTATAGAGAGTGCTCTTACCTTCATGTGGAACTCCATCTTTGTGCAGAGGAGCTTAGCATACAGAGCCACCAGCTGGCCATATCTGTCATGAAGGTTGCCCTGGAAACAAGAGGAGTGAGCAACAAGCATTAAGCTTTGCTTTATTTGAACACAGCAATATTTTTTTAAATCTCATCTCCCATTCTAGCCTTTCCTCTCTAATCTGCAGCAGACAGATTAACTCTGGCTGCACAGGAAGCACAATTACTGTATGATGGGGAAGATGACGTTTGAAAAGAGGATTTCAAAACTTCTCCTGCATTTTTGCCTAAACTAAATAATTAAAGCAAAGGATATTTCCTCATTTCAAGTCATCTGACATTCAATTTCTTCACCCAACATGTCTTCAACCTATTCAAGCACGCCCCCAACAAAAACACAGCACAATCTCCAGACTCACCCATAGTTGCCCCGTCTCAACTATGTTACTGTGATGTCTCATGCAGTCCTGAAGGCTCTGGAGGGCAAAAAGGGGATAGATAATGTCAATTCAATAATAGTACTGAAACAGTTACTCAATAATGTTAAATTATAACATTTCACCATTAAGCTAATTCAACTGGACTGATTACGGCCAGAGGTCCGCATAAAAAACTGCACGCTTGGGCCTCTCGAATGGCGCAGCGGTCTAAGGCACCGCATCGCAGTGCTAGTGGCGTTACTACAGACCCGGGTTTATTCCCGGGTTGTGCCACAACCGGCCGTGACCGGGAGTCCCATAGGACACCGCACAATTGGCCCAGCGTCGTCCGGGTTAGGGGAGGGTTTGGCCGGTGGGGCTCATCGCGCTCTAGCGACTCCTTGTGTTGGGCCGGGTGCCTGCAGGCTGACCCCGGTCGCCAGTTGAACAGTGTTTTCTCCGACACATTGGTGTAAGCTTCCGGGTAAGCTGGCGGGTGTTAAGGAGCGCGGTTAGGCGGGTCATGTATCGGAGGACGCATGACTCCACCTTCGCCTCTCCCGAGCCCGTTGGGGAGTTGCAGAGATGAGACAAGATCAAAGAAATTTGGGAGAAAAAGGGGGTAAAATACAAAACAAACTAATAAAAACAATTGCATGATTAATACACCATCTGTGTGAGTTTACGAGCTCTGCTCAAAGCAATATTGCATGTTTTTTTTGTATATACTATAGGCTTCCAATTAGGCAATATTTTCATCTAAGGCCTGTCTCAAATTTTCCACCTTAAACCTTCGTTTTGTCTCTCTCCATTTTTCTTTAGTATGTATTTGATAATGTAAAAAGATATATATATAAAACAGAATGGCAGTGGTAGTAGAGTGTAAAGAGCGGAGAGCAGGTCTTACGTTATGGTGGCCGTCCCGCAGGACTTTGTGCACCACGTGACAGAACTTCCAGCTGAGGATGGAGTTGCTGGACAAGGGGAGGCCCAAGGCGTAGGACCAGAAGGTAAAGGCTCCCTTCTCCCTGTGGGTCCCCAGAATGATCCCTGTATCGGCTGTCAAGGAAGAGCCAAGAAGCAAAATACAAAGCCAAAATAATACCTTTCGCCTTCCCTCACATATTCTTTCATTTTCTCTCGCTCATGTGCAATGATAAAATCACAGTATTTCAAATCTAAGGAGAATAAAATATGCATTGTTGCCATCGATACCTTCAAAAGTAAAATATACTAGGTGGCTGTATAGCCTACATGATGGCAAATGTCAACTCTAAAAAGCAATTACCTTCTACAGTACATTAATTCAACAACTAGTGGTTCAAAACAGCCCAGTTGGTTATCAGGCGTACAAAGTTTAGAGCAAATAATAGCAAAAGGTTTGCTGTTTCCAGCTCGGGGTTATATTGAAGGATACTGCGTGCATGTTTCTCCTTCACAGGCGCCTCATTGGAGTTTATGGCTTTGCTGATGCTGCTGAGCTGGAGGAGAGTAGAGAGAGCACAGGTTGAGGTCATACGTCACTATGGCTACTGAACTGCCAGTCAACAGTGACATAAAACAAAAACACATTTTAATGGGAGATAGATTCAACGAGTACAAGACCATCCAACATGTGACATTTGGAATGAATAAAAGAGCACCATTTCTATGAACAAAATCAAATGTCAAAACAAGACACACTTGAATAATGAACTACCACCTTATACAAATAAAAGCTATACTGGTCATATGACAGGACTACATTACTGATCATCCCTTTACTTGGATTTATTTTAGGGCCACACCACAATCCCAATCTCTATGTCCCATGTTTGTGTACAGTACACTCATGTCCAGTACAGTCAGATGACCCAGGAGAGAGGAAGTGAGTGATCGGTTGTGTTCACTAGACATGTGATCAGCAAGTCTCCACAAACCCATACTATCAGGTGGAGTGGTAGCAGTTGACATGGCAACCCTTGTTTCAACAGCACAGAGGGAGAGGGAGGGAGTAGTCTTTTAAAAACATAACAAAGGCTACTGATAAGCCATAGTGTGTGTTGAAATACAAGGCCAGAGAGGAGCTGTACTGGAGATGCGGAGAATACAGCAGATTGCATTGTGACAGTGGAATCAGAAAAAGTATTGTGTATGTTTACATGCAGAGGCTCGTGTAATAAGGGTTCAATAACTCCTCTGTTTTTCCTTCATTAGGCTACCGTGAGTAATGTGGACTGAACAAGCCACTAGGCTTCTGTTCCAATTACTTGGGTGTGTCCATTTTATTTGTTTTGTAAATACGACACATGCTTACAGCATTCCAAACATAATAATAATAAATAATATGCCATTTAGCAGACGCTTTTATCCAAAGCGACTTACAGTCATGCGTGCATACATTTTTAACATAATTGCCGGATCCCTGCATTAGAGGGATTACAACACGTGTCAAAATGAGCATTCCTAACAGTTAAAACCTACATGCTCCCAAAATACTACATGCATCAGGGTGTCCTCTCTGCATGTTATGCTGTCGATAATGACAATTGAGGAAAGCGACATAATGTCACCAGCAACAGGGAACACAGTGCCACCGTCCTGCAACTAAGCCAACAGGTAGAACAAGTCCATGTGAATGGAGGGAGGAAGGGAGAGAAGCAGATAGTCAGAGCTAGGTCTCAACACTTTCCTCAACGCGTTTGTGTTTGTATCGGTTTGTGTACAGTACATGGGCTTGGCCCGTCACTGATAAAGGCATAGTTAGTAACGCTAGAGGATAAGGGAACGCTCTGAATCCAAAACATGACAAGCATATTGTGACCTCTGATACAATTGCCGGTGTGTTTTTAGCCAGTCTTGTTATAGTAACCCTCAGTCTAACTTGTCCTTACATGAGATCTGCATTGCATCTTCCCAACAGTTCTGAACAGTGAGAAAACAAGCTATATTTTGACTGACCCATATAGACTCACTGAAGACTAGCGCTACCAATTGTAATTAATAAATGAGGGAAATATGGGTAAAATCACATTTCTCTAGCCAACTAGTTCAGATAATCCTGTCACATTTCTCCAGACTCGACTCAAGGGAGAATAGGAGCAAGCGCACCAAACAATGGTCTACCATAGCATTCCTCACAACACAATAACATGGAAGCATTGGCCAATAGGTCCTCATTCTGAGATCACCACCCACTCTCCCTGTGACCCAGGATTGGCAGACACATACTATATGCGTAGACATTTACATTACATTTACATTTACGTCATTTAGCAGACGCTCTTATCCAGAGCGACTTACAAATAGGTGCATTCACCTTATAGCCAGTGGGATAACCACTTTACAATGTTTTTTTTTTTTGTTTGTTTGTTTTTTGACCACAGCAGGTGAAAAGGACAAGATGATGATTGAGGAAGTGAAAAGCTCCATTTCAGTTCAATTAATTACATAACTGACTAATCCAACTTGCAGTAACTTGCATGAGCTGTTATGGTTAATTTATACAGATTCTCTGGTACTATCCCAACCTCTCTCTCGCCCCACTTCCCCCTCAATAACCCACCACCCCCACAGAAAAGAGACAATGGTATGCTACACTGAGCAGGGGCAAATGTACGTCTGTATAAACACACACACACACACTGTTTTTATCGCACTGCTTTGCTTTATCTTGGCCAGGTCGCAGTTGTAAATGAGAACTTGTTCTCAACTGCCTTACCTGGTTAAATACAGGTGAAATAAAAATAAAATAAATAAACACACACATTCTGCCCCACTGACAGTCAGTCACTCAATCGCAAAATAATCCCACAAACACAGGCTCATACAGACCAACACACATTTTTCCTTCACCCTCTGGCTGTATATACACAGTCATAGAAATTAACTCACTCTGGCATTTACATGACATTTCTTCCTAGAATGCACACATACAGCTTATCGTACACACAGGAAGGGAGGAATACAATCCTCACATTTATCAGATATCTGAGGCAGGCCGGCAAAATTTGCCAGCAATCCTGCAAATGCATAAAGACTTCATTTAGTTAGTGAAACTCTGGAGCCACCACAACCCGCCAACCTCCCCCTCTACCAAAACACGTACAGTCACTAAACAAAGCACAGAGGGGCTACTGTGCGCTTAAGGCGACCACTCAGAGTGAGGGGAGAGAGAAAAAGAGAGGGGTGTCCTGGTTAATGAAGACCCCTTCTTGTGAGGTTAGTGCTAGCCACCTTGGCTTAGGGGGCCAGAGCAAGTGGTGGGTTAGAGTAGGGATGGGCAAGGTTATTTGAATATCCGAACGGACGTTAGTATTCGATTACTTGGGAGTATACTTTTCTTTGAAGAAAATATGCCTTTTTTTAAAGCTTTGTCTGAAATGAAATAAAATGATCTTGTGACATTGCTACATAGCCTACAAGGAATGACCTTTACATTCAACATTTTTATAAAACAGTTATTTTACATTTACATAATTTAGCAGACGCTCTTATCCAGAGCAACTTACAAATTAGTGCATTCAACTTACGATAGCCAGTGGGACAACTACTTTTTTATTGGGGGTGGGGGAAGGAGGATTACTTTATACTATTCCAGGTATTCCTTAATGAGGTAGGGTTTCAAGTGTCTCCGGAAGGTGGTCAGTGTTGAGTTTTTATGAGTGCGCCCCGTAAAAAATATGCACCGGTAGCCTACACACATTTCACACGCGTCGCTTGTTGTTATTGTCGTCAATCAAAGTGGTGCTACAGTCAGAGGTTGAATGTGTAGCAAGTGAAGTGCAGTGGTGGAAAAAGTACCCAACTGTCACACTTGAGTAAAAGTAAAGATACCTTAATAGAAAATGACTCAAGTAAAAGTGAATGTCACCCAGTAAAATACTACTTGAGTAAAAGTCTAAAAGTATTTGGTTTGGAATATACTTAAGTAACAAAAGTAAATGTAATTCCTAAAATATACTTAAGTATCAAAAGTAAAAGTATAAATAAAAAAGTATGAAAATGTAGGCACTCACTAACTGTAAGTCACTCTGGATAAGAGCGTCTGCTAAAAATGACAAAAAAATTAAAATAATTTCACATTCCTTATATTAAGCAAACCAGATGGCACAATTCTTGTTTTTTATATTTACAAATAGCCAGGGCACACTTCAACAATAACATAATTTACAAACTAAACATTTGTGTTTAGTGAGTCCGCCAGATCAGAGGCAGTAGAGATATTCTCTTGATAAGTGTGTGAGAATTGGACAATATTCCTGTCCTGCTAAGCATTCGAAATGTAAGTACTTTTGGGTGTCAGAGAAAATGTATGGAGTAAAAAGTACATTATTTTCTTTAGGAATGTAGTGGAGTAAAAGTAAAAAAGTTGTCAAAAATATAAATAGTAAAGTAAAGTCCAGATACCCCAAAAAACGACTTAAGTAAGTATGAAAAATGTATGCACTCACTAACTGTAAGTCACTCTGGAAAAGAGCGTCTGCTAAAATGACTAAAATGTAAATAGTACTTTAAAGTATTTTTAAATAAGTACTTTACACCACTGGTGAAGTGGGAGATTTCTAATCAATGCCATTTGCTAAATGAGAAGGAGTAGGCTACAATGATCAACCAAGTAAGTTGTTTCATATGAATGGAGTTGTTTTAGACATTGGATGGGGAAGCGCAGCAAAATAGCCTCAATTAGCCTTTATACTTTAGCTAGCTAGCTTCTTTACAATTATTTGATGCAGTCAAGACAGGCACTACCAGATGGTATGATAGCTAACCTATGGCAGCAACAAGTTTGTCTAACTACAGCGAGTCGGTTTGCCTACTTTCTCTCTCCCTCCATGCCACATATAGACTGTCACATCGCCCCCTGCTCCTCTCGCCCCTCCCCCATCCTCCTGTTGAAACAAGCAGAGCGCATCACGCGAGGAAGTCTCAACTGAAGTTAAAAAAAATATATTTAATTCATTTAAAAAAACATGTATTTCGACTATCCGGATATCCGAAACAATAGCATGATATAATTTGAATACTGAAATAATTTCAAATGCCCATCCCTAGGTTGGAGGGGTGCTTGACAATGAGGGGTTTGTGGGAGGAGGAAGGCCTGTCAGCTGGGGTAGAAGATTGGGTTGGATGGGGGCCACATTCTGGCACACAGCGCCTGGCACAGAGGCCTCAACAGATGGCATGGCTGCAGGGAGGCTCCATAATACATTCAAACTAACTGTCACTCAGAGAAGAGAGAGAGCACGAGACAGGGGAGGGAGAGAAGTAGAAGGGGACAGAGAGAGCATGAGTGTGAGTGAAAAAGAAAGGGAGTGTGAGGGAGAAAGGAAGCAAGAGGGAAGGGGGATCATTGTTACACTAACCTGATTAGAGACTGCATACAGTGCATAGTCCAGTGAAATGTGAGCAATGCAATTTACAGAACTGCTTGAAGTCTAGAATTGAAGGTTGGCAATGTCACAAACCAACAAAAGACCTATCCTGTCTCCCACTGGCAGACTCCCTCAAATTTACTCACTCATTCATACAAAGAAACAAACACCATTAAACAGTGGTGTAAAGTACTTAAAGGAAAATTCCATCCCAAAACTATCTTTTGGTATTTGTTTCATTAGTCCATTTTTTTATTTTACCTTTATTTAACTTGGCATGTCAGTTAAGAACAAATTCTTATTTACAATGACGGCCTACACCAGCCAAACCCGGACGACGCTGGGCCAATTGTGCGCCGCCCTATTGGGACTCCCAATCACGGCCGGTTGTGATACAGCCTGGAATCGAACCAGGGGGTCTGTAGTGACGCCTCAAGCACTGAGATGCAGTGCCTTAGACCACTGCGCCACTCGGGAGCATTGTTGACATAGTCCCAAAATGTTTTCCTTGTCAGCAATCAAGTTTTCAAGATATGTAACTTTCAAAATACAAAAATTGTGCCGTCTGGTTTGCTTAATATAAGGAATGTGAAATTAATTATACTTTTACTTTTGATACTTAAGTATATATTAGCAATTACATTTACTTTCAATACTTAAGTACATTTAATAACAAATACTTTTAGACTTTTGCTCAAGTAGTATTTTACTGGGTGACTTTCACTTGAGTCATTTTCTATAAAAAGGTATCTTAACTTTTACTCAAGTATGACAATTGGGTACTTTTTCCACCACTGCCATTAAAACTTTCAACAGCAATGCCATAAGAAGGTCAGGAAGGTGTACATACATCTGGTTGACCACAGGAGAAGCTGGTCTTAACTGTGATCTAAGTGGGCCAGACAGACAGTCTGACACCATTTAGCTGTTCGACAGATACAACATTGCACCTGGACCCAAAACATAAGTCTTAATCCCCCAATAGAGGGAGAGGTAGTTAGAGGGAGTGATGAGCCCAGCCTAATCCCTGAGGCCCGTCGGAAGATTCATCGCCAGCTAAACTCTCGCCACACACACACACACACTGCTTCATCCCTCCCATCCCTGCTCCCTCGTTTCTTACCTTCTCATCTTCTCCCTTCTTGCCTTTCAACAGTGTGTCTATGTGCTTGGACATTCCTGCCAGGAAGACTATAGCTGGCAGAGACACAGCAGCAACACCTCTAGTTTACTCCACACTGGGCAGTCAGTCAGGTGCCCTGCAGTGACTAGTTATTGCAGTTCTTTATCAGCTTAATTCAACAGACTGTTGCTGCCGCTCTGGTTGTCAAGGTCAGACACATACCCAAGCTCCACACGGCTGCCACTATTAATGCTGTTAAACTAGTGTAAACACACTGCTAATGAGGCTGAACGCACCGTCTGGTTATGTTAGCATTAACTAGTCTAGCACTAATTCACTGGGAGTGTTGAGAAAAACAGTAAGGTGCTGATGATAGCAAAAAGCCTACTCAGTGACCAACACATTGCAGTTCAAATCTATCAAGGAATACATTACATTTCTCCTTTATCCAACACTACATTGTTTGGAGGCAAACAGGAAATGGGATAGAGGAATTTGGGGGGTGTTTGGATAAGTCGTTATATCCAACCGCTTTGATTTTGGAAAAACAGCCTTCGCTGTTATCACTTGGAAAGATGATCAACATTTAAAAAAAGGTGACATTTCAACAAGTCAGTTTCAATTATCATTCCCGCAACATCAAATACTAGCTGTTTTCATAGAAAACCCTTTCATGGCTCTTATGTAATCCCCTGGAAATGTCCCTATTGTGTTACATTTCTCCTTGTCTCCTGCTTTGCCTCCCAGGCAGCACAACAATAGCTGGCTCAGTCCCTTACAGCGTTGATACAGACAGAAACCTGAGCCCCAACTGGACTAGCCCTTCCTGCCTTTGATGAAATTACTTTGCCCTCACCCCTGCTGCTTCTTCTCCTTAGCCTGACATCCTACACGGATATCTAGGCGACAAAATTGAAGACTTGGACAGTGGACACAAGGACTTGCCATTGCTTCAAACCCTCCTACAATAGTTGGATATTAAGGGAAGTGTTCTGTGCTGTAGAGACACTTCCTCTCCCGGACAACAAGCCTGTGAGATTGAGAGGTGGTTTGGGTTCGGTCTTGCACTGAAGTGAGGCAGAAGTCTACTACTGCTCTGTCATCCTCAGACAGTACAACAGTCATTCCAGTCTCCTCCTCCTCCACCTCATTATCATCATCTCAAAAGCGGTCACATCAGCCCTGTGTGTCAGCACTATGACTATGCTGGCTGATGTTTGTGCTCTCACTCTATGCTGTGCCTCCCAAAATGGATGATGTCAGCTGTAAATAATAATAATAATAATAACCCTCACCAAACCACCCCCACTATAGTTCCCCTGGTTTCCTAATTTTCCTGTAGATGCTTGGTTTCCATGGAAACCCCCAGGGAATTGTACACTGGCAACAAGGAGTCACTCCACACCACTTGGTAGGGTGTGTCAGTTGTTCCAATTGGACATTTACTGGCACGTATACACAACAAGTGTACTCACGTAAGATCACACTTAAAAGCAACAGGTCAAATCTGAGATCAGTTAGTCAGGTAGGTAAGTACTTAAACAGCAAGAAACAGAATCCAAAAGTTATAGAAGGCATTACCAACACTAAAGTACATTATAATGACCATAAGCAAAATGCTTGAATTCTTTGCTGTTCTCAGAGGCCTAGAGAGAGGCTGTGTTTACACTCAGCAGCTCCCTTCCCTGCTCCCTTCCCCCAGCCCAGCCCTCTCTCCTGGGCACTGAGGCCTCCGAAATGATGGAGCGCAAACACACACATGCAAACATACACAGTCTCTCACACACACAGAGTGAGAGTGTGAACAACAGGCACTGTGTGGGACATCTGACCTTGGCAGTGAGGTCAACACAGAGATAAAACTAGAGAAGAAGAAAAACAGACAGAGAGGAATGGGGTGTAACATTAGACCTACAGTAGACCCCAGAATCAGCAGAATTCTACAGGTCAATGACAAGAACCATCATGTAATGCAGTATTGAATTAATAGCAAGTATAGCAGTGCCTTATTATATCTTTCCAGTTACGTACCTTTGATGACCGGGATAGAGCTACATTATTGTGCTGTACATTAGGCTAGACTTGTTAACTGTCAATGTAGCATACAGAAAATAAATTGTGGGGTCAGTAAGCCAAGGGCACAGACTTCAGACAGCTTTATATGGATGGTAAAGTACTGCAGCACACAGTGACTCTGCAGCACCCTCTATGGAAAGACAATATGGTGGAGCTGCCTGTCACTGGAATTGAGTTGAGTACCTGGACATTGTAGTATGTTACATAACGGTCTCTACATTTGCACTGTCATATCAGGAGTTGACTGTCACAGGCTGACAGTCAACTGAGACCGGTCAGTCAACTGAGACCGGTCAGTCAACTGAGACCGGTCAAGTAGAGCATAGATAGGGAAGGAAAAACAGGGCTCAGTCAGGAACAGTGTAGTGTCTCCTTCAGGACTGCAGTACAAAGAGCCTGACTAACTGCTAGACATAATGCCAGTCACTGTTTGGGTGTAACATCTGTCAGGTTCTCATGTCTACGGCAGCGCTGACCAGAGCATGTGCCAAGGGCATGTGACTGCGCCTCTGATATGATGTGCTTATCTTTGCCGGATTTAAACATCCAGTTAACAATTCAGTCAAAGGGACCACACAATCTCTCTCTCCATCTAGCCGGCCAAAGGAATGGGTTTCCTCTTTCTCATCGATTCAGTTCAGTATCATCACTGCCTAACTTTGTCTGGCTGACCTTGTGTGAATATAATAGGCTCTGTATTTTTGCATCACTCGATCCAGTATATTCAATTGAGGTACCAAAGACACAAGGAGATGGCAGAGATTTCTCTTGCCTCATGCCAGGGTCACACTGTGTTGACAGTTTGTATTCTGCTGGATGTCCAGTCATTTCAGATGGAGGAGTCCAGCAGATTACAATGTTATTTCAACTTTGGTTCTGCATTTGCCATTTGGTGATCCATCCACAGGAATTTGATTTCAAAGCTACTTCGTACTATTTCAATACACTATATAAAGGATAGCTCTGGGCCATACCCTTAATGAAGGGGTTTTAGGAAAAAGAGCAAGGGGAAAGGAAGTCAGGACAAGGTAGGCAAACAAGAGCTTCTAGTTGAACATGATAGGCCTTGTATTGCGAGCCAGGACTTCACCGAGAGGCATACACTCATTTAAAGGACACAATGTATTGCCAATTAGCTCCCTGGTAGTAAGTAAATGACACTGAAGCCAGAAAAAGAAAATCAAGGAAAAAACAGAAATTATTTTCTAAAATGTTTCAACAAAAAAGGTCTACCACTGATGAAGATGTCATCAACATGACCTACAGCTCCCAGACTGTGTGAAGGAGTGTCCTTTTCTAAGAAATTATTTGGAAATAGATGATTCATTGTTGGATGATGGTAATGGTGATGATACAGTTAAAAGTTCTGGACTGAGACATCTCTATCCAAAAATATATACATGGCTGATCAATGTAAAGAAATTAGGTCTACATCTCAACAAGGGAGGCTGTCATTCATTATCCTGTTTCCAATCAAATATTTATCACAGACAACCACAGGGACTAACAGCTGATTCAATGACATACAGGACTTTCCATTAGCCTCTAAATTAAAATAATCAACATATTTGCTGTGAGTAATGTTTCGACCATGCGGGGTGCCATAGGCCTATCAAATGAGGAACTCAGGTGATGGGCCAGGTGCGGATTTTGCATCAAAACGTTCTCAATAAGAGCAGCATATTACAGTTCATAAGCTATGCTTTGTTATTTTCGTGTGCGCAAATAACAAATACGTTCGATAAATTAAAGGCCTCACATGCTATTTGAAACACTGTTTTTTATCGAAAAGATGCAAAACAAACAGCTCTGCAGCGCAAATTCCACCACCATCACTAGGGTATTAATATTTACCTGCTGCTTATCAAAATGTTCCCTCTCCGCACCTAAATTGGTTTCGGTCCTTTTGGTTTTTACCCTTGAAGGCACCTGTCGTATGGAATTCATCCTCACGTCTTGGAACCCGGCGAAATTCTTACTGGATCTTCGACGATATGGACGGTTTGTAACAAATACCCACTAGAGGAAAAATGTCGCTTATAAAGCAGTCAAAGTATGACACTCCTCGCGTTTTTGGTAGAAGCTACGCGCGAACAACTGGTTCGACGTCCGCGAGTGGCATTTGTAGGCAGCGAACTCAATGGAGAGAACGCATCACAGCCAGAGGAGGAAAACGCGAAATGTTTGCTGTACGTGGAGCCTCGTCTACGGAAGGATATAACAGTAGTTCGCACATAGCAACGGGGGGGGGAGCCCATGCGACAGAGAGGCTGTTTACGTCACTCATGCAGTATTGAAATGACAGAGGATTTTTTTATACCCCACCTGAAACGTTGTTATAAGGCCAGCAATTTCCCATATACAAATAGTTCAATGCATTATTTGTTGCATGCTTGTTATGATCATATTTTCTTATGATAATAAAGAAAACAATCTGTATGAGGTGAAATGGATGTATTTTCTCCACCACTACAGTGCAATCCATTATCCATCTGATTCTGTGCTTTTGCCTGTATTATCATAGTAATCACAAAGGAAGGGACTACAGGCTATATAATGTAGCTCAGTTGGTAGAGCATGGCGCTTGCAACGCCAGGGTTGTGGGTTCGTTTGCCACGGGGGGCCAGTATGAAAACGTATGCACTCACTTAACTGTAAGTCGCTCTGGATAAGAGCGTCTGCTAAAATGACTAAAACTTTTTTTTAAAATAATGGAGAACATGGCCTAATAAAATGCTTTTTGGCCTCATAAGGTGCAATGGGCTAATTGAGGTGCTTGGAACAGAGCAATGTATGCTTTCCATGTAGCAAACAACTCTCTTCAGGCAAGGCCACATCAATGCAAAAGCCAATTCTACCCATCTAACACAGCTACATATATTTACTTAATTTGCTTATCATAGCTTATAGCCTACCCTTTGGGCCTGTCCTGTGAGTACACAGCAGCATATGTGGGTAGGCCACCTCTCATCCCATTGTTTTGGAAACAGCCTGTCTGCTCTTTCCATTGTGGGATCACATTTAACAGCACCCTCATCACTGCAAGTGGGGAATGACCAGCAACTACTATACCAAAAAGGCTAAATTAGATCAAGTCAGCATAAAAGTTAAAGTGAAAAGTGTCAATATGCAGATTTTGCACAACCCTTAAGCTAAGAATGCTATTTTCTCTGTGCAAATAAAAGGGAGGCAGTTGTGGAAATCATTGCCTGCTTTTAGGTCGACAGGATTAAAACAGTGAATGGACGTATCAGAAAATGAAGTCTAGATTAAACCCAGAGAGAAGCAGAGGTAAAGGATTACAATAGGACAGTGCACTCAGTGTCACTCGAGAAAATTAATATGGAAAATGGATAACAGTAGGCCTAAATGCAGCTCCACAGTTCACCCCGTAATTTAAAGGATTAAGAAAAAAATAATGTAATAGAAAACAACACCCTTAAAAAAAACAGCTTTATAAAAAATATGCTTACAAAGACTACAAGATCAGTTTGATCAAGAAAGCCAAACACCTGAGAATTTACTGTCACTTTGTTTGTAGTGGGGGATATATTGTAATAAACAGGGGAAACAGAAGGAAATGAAAATGATTTGATGGACACAATAGGAGAAGGTAGTACAATGCTGAATATTAACCCTTCAAGAAAAATATAAAGTGTCATCCTGTATACTATGATTGCGATAGAAGGATAATTTCCTCTTATAGTTGACACCACACCTTTTTTTGGAGGAATTAGAGGACTGAATGATTGCTCCTCTGAAAGGCAATAAGAACTTGTTTTGTGCAGTTAGGGGATTTATAGTGACAGTTTATCAGTGTTTAACCGACTCTCTGTTAATCCTTGGGGTGTGCTGCAAAAGTGCAGTGATCCAGCTGCCACTGCTCAGACAGTGGCAACTAATAGGGTGCACTGTATGGAAGAGCTACCTATGTGAGTGACTAGATTGTTTGGAGCATCATGAAAGTATCGTCAGTGTATAGGTAATGTCTTGCTTCACTTCTCAACTCAATTCAAATGTTGTAATACCAGGCAGGTGCACCTGGAGATTTCACTGACCCTACTGGACATGGTGGAAAAAATGCTAATGATTACTTTAGGCATGCTGAGATACCGGATTGGGGAACTGAGAACTTTTTTCCTTCACTTCACACTGAATAGCCTTTTAAAATAGTTTATGAAACATATTATTATTCAAGTCTGTCACTAAGCAATCACAGATCCTCCCTGGTGTGAGCACTGTCTGCAATTATGTTTTTTAAATGTATTTTACCAATGGATAAGGACCTTGATGAGGAGATGGAGATGTTTCAGGGTGAATGAAGGTGACAGATAATATAATCAGTCCTTTCTGTTGTTTTCCATTCCATTAGAGCCTGTCTGCTATTTAAACATCCTCATGGTTGCAGGACGGGACTTTCACGTTCATGGCATCGGGTGGAACAGCCACTATGACACTCAAGAGTCAGGTATGCAGGTGTTGGAAACAGGAAAGATCATGGGACTTCAGAAGAACAGAGAAGAGAGCAGAGGTCTACTTGCACCACAGGACAAACTGGCTCTCTCACATTCCTCCTCTGCCCTGGTGAGCTATGGCTACAAATAATTATTCTATGCGAGAATAGAGCTGCTCAAGACTTCAGAAAAGGAGAGCAGATGGTCCTTCCCACTTCCTTCTCCACCCACCCTCCTGTGAACAAGCATATGTCTACACATCCTTATGTATTTCCCTCCAGTAGATTATACAGCCTTAGATGATCTAAGAACCATTTAATGATTTTCCTTAATTTAAGACTCCAGTCTATGTCTCATTGCAGTTCACATGAATGAGTGAAGATATGCATGTGTTTCTCCAAGTTATGATTACTAGAATAAAACACATTTTTGTGATCAAATGCTTTTATTATTTTTAATAAGGTACATAAAACAGGTACACATGGACAGAAAAACAAGTGACAAGACCGAACAAGAAAAACAGTTCCCATCCCACCCACAGGACATCCCCAACCCAAAGTTATATTAGTGGTTCACAATAGCAGTCTTTTTACAGAGTCATACGTTGATTTTGAATCGCTCCATGCTTGCGTCCTACAGATATTTCCATGTTTATTATGTCCATCAATGATAGCAGCGACTGCTGTTGGCTTAAAGAATGAGGAGCCTGCCAACATGAGGCTATCATTTTGTTGGCTGCTGTTAATCCAGCCAGCCAAATACGTCGCTGTTTGACAGATACTGTAGGTCTAAAGTAGTGTCATCATTTAACAATAAAATAGATGGTGAACATGGTACATTTCTACCCATTATGTCAGAAAGACAGGATGAAACAACTCCAGAAGCGTAAAACCACTGGGCACTCCCAAACCATATAGGGAAAAAATGTGCCAGGAGCCCCCTGAGGGCACAGTGAGCAATTTGGGGTTTGTCTAGCTTTCATCTTAAAAAAGTTTTATGGTGTGCAGCAAAGTAAGTTCTTTGGGCAAAATTGTAATGTATAATTTGGTGGTTGGGGTTTCTTGATGAAATTGATATGTTGGACCAAACTCTGGTCCAATTAGTCACAGTACTACATACGGAAAGGTCTTTCTTCCATGATGCATGGGAAGGGATTGATTTATGAGTAATTTTACGTAGCAGAAAATGTAATTTAGAGACCAGTCCCTGTGTACTACTATGAATAAATCATTTGTGGATAGGATAGACAGACCATTCTTGCCCCCAAGGGCAAAGCAGAACGGAGTTGTAAGTAAAAGAAAAAGGATGTGCCAGGTAAGTTAAATTGCTTCAGGAGGTCTTGAAATGCACAGAGATAGTAGTCTTCAGTGATATCTGAGATAGTATGAATCCCTCTTTCAGACCATTGATTAAAAGAGATAGGATGACCACATATAGGTGGAGAGCATGGTTGTGAAATAAAGGAAGGTGAGGATGGTATTTGAGATTGATTTTGGTATGTTCACCAACCAGGCGCCATGCTGAAATAAGTTGTGAGGTGATAGGGCCAAATTTGAGTTTGCAATGTTTGAGCAGGATATCAGAATGGATCATAAGTCTGTGGGGTAACTCGTTTTTCCTTCAGGGGGCGCCAAGATACAGCTGTATCAGGATTTAACCATGACTACAGAGGGCGTAAAATTAAAGCCCAAAAATAGAATTTGAAATTTGGGAGGTTTTGGCCTCCTGCACATTTTTCACACTGAAGTGTAGAGAATGTAATAGAAGGACGCTTCCAACTGAATTTAGCAAGTAAAGAATGTAGCCTGTCCCAGTATCGTGGAACTAGAAAAGTGAATTCTTGGCAATATATTAATTTTCATTATTGAGACTCGAGTCTGGAAGGTGTTTGGGATTTGCTTCCATCTTTCCACATCAGACTCTATGCTTCTTAAGATGATGTTGAAGTTGTTTTTGACTATTGCTTGCAAAGAAGGATAGATTTCTATTCCAGGATAGCGGAAATGTTGGACTTTGGTGGGCAGCTGTGAATTACACATTGCCTCATTCAGGGGCAATAGAGCGGATTTTGTAAAGCAAAAAAAAATTATGAGAAGGTTAGGTAATGACTGAGGTGCATTGCCCACATAGAGCAGTATATTGTCTGCATACAGAGCTACACTATACAGTGGCTTGCGAAAGTATTCACCCCCCTTGGCATTTTTCCTATTTTGTTGCCATACAACCTGGAATTAAAATGGATTTTTTGTGGGTTTGTATCATTTGATTTACACAACATGCCTACCACTTTGAAGGTGCAAAATAAAAAAATGTGTGAAACAAACAAGAAATAAGACAAAAAAAACTGAAAACTTGAGCGTGCATAACTATTTACCCCCCAAAGTCAATACTTTGTAGAGACACCTTTTGCAGCAATTACAGCTGGAAGTCTCTTGGGGTATGTCTCTATAAGCTTGGAATATTTGCCCATTCTTCAAGGCAAAACTGCACCAGCTCCTTCAAGTTGGATGGGTTCCGCTGGTGTACAGCAATCTTTAAGTCATACCACAGATTCTCAATTGGATTGAGGTCTGGGCTTTGACTAGGCCATTTCAAGACATTTAAATGTTTACCCTTAAACCACTCGAGTGTTGCTTTAGCAGTATGCTTAGGGTCATTGTCCTGCTGGAAGGTGAACCTCCGGTCCCAGTCTCAAATCTCTGGAAGACAGCAACTGGTTTCCCTCCAGAATTTCCCTGTATTTAGCGCCATCATTCCTTCAATTCTGACCAGTTTCCCAG